ATGATTAGTGCCCAGTGAAAGCTGTATTGTGTTTGCACTGTAAATGAATCTTACCGTATTAGGATTAACAAATATGTGTGGTGTAAACCACATTAAAGGCCATTAAAAGGGTAACAAAGTACATTTAAAGAGGTTGTAAAGGCAGAAAGTACCTTACTGCATTCTATGCAGCTTCCCCTGCAGCCCCCCTAATAACATACCTGAGCCCTCTCTTGATCCAACATCAATGTGCTTCATTGGCTCAGATGGCTCTTGCTGCTGTCAATCACAGCCAATGAGGACGGGGTTGGGAGTGGGGGCCGAGTCCAGCTCTGTATGTCTTGAGCAGGGTTTGGGGGTGAGCATGCATGAGTGCCCCCATAGCAAGAGGATTGCTGTGGGGGCACTTGAAAGGGGGGAGAAGCCAGGAGCGCCAACGTTGGACCCGAGAAGAAGAGGATCGGGACAGCTCAGTGCAAAACCCTTGCACAGAGCTGATAAGCATAACATGTTTCTTATTTTAATTTGAAAAAATCTTTAATATTTTAAGGCACCTGGCATCAATCAAAAGATCAATAAATCTTTTCTCATTTATGCAAAATGTAGTTTTTTTACACTTATATCTGTAAAAACATGGAAACAATGGCTTAACCGGTCAAGATGGTTTACATCTGATGGTATACCTTTACAACTTGACCAGTTGGAGCATTTACAAGGAAAACACACACCAAATAAATGTGCCGCAAATATGTATTTGCTAAATGAATAATAGCTGACAAGTAAATGTATAGAACCAGCGCTCTGCAGACAAAAGATATATAGCAGCTAGCAGTTAAAGGTCAATACGCCAAACCCTTTCAAATTATATATAATAGTGCGAAAATTGCATGAAGTTCAAAAACTCCAGAAAAACATTTATATAAAGTGATATATACTATATGACAAGTAATGAAACCATGTGATTATAACAACCAAAAATCCATCCTTAAAATAAGTAATAAATAATAAACACTATCTAAAGGTCCGTGAAGTATTCAGTGAGTTAAGTAACAGTGTTATTTTCTTAAAAGACATCCAGGTGATTCAAATAATGCTGCACATGCTTCCACTGTGTTCACCAAAGGTCTTTGCAGCTGTAGGAGCTCTGAAAGACCCAAGACTGGAGAAAGCAGGCTGATCCTCCCAATGCAGATACTGCACATTGCATTAACCAAAATGTCTCCTTATATTTCTGAGGTGACAATAGGAGACTGCAGTGCCTTAAGAACAGTCTTTTCAGAGACAGACAGTTGGGACCTGAATCTGAGTCAGAGATAATCCCAGAGACTAGTGGCTCAGCCTGTACTAAGGCTTTGGGAAGACCAGAGACAGACTCTGTAGTCAAATTCACTAAATTCCTCATGGATGCAAACCATACAGGCTGTAAGTTCACTCCAGCATCATTCCCTGCTGTCCTGAGTTGACATGGAGGCCCCTGACAGGGAAGGGGACTTAAACTCACCCAGTGAAGCTGAAGGAGGCTCTGATGATGTAGACCCTATAACTACAGGGTCATGGGATTTCAGGTTACAGACATCTTTTCCCTCAGAGGATACCCAGTAAATGCCCCTGACCCCCAGCAGAGTATCAGCTGGGCTCACCCATATCAGCAGGAATGTCCAACATTTGTGCAGACAAGTTGCGCCCATGTAGCAGTATCACACTACACCAAAAGTGCAAGGCAAGGCCTTAAGTACTCATAAACCCAACTTGCTAGGGAGGATCAGACCGTCAGAGCTGACCATTTCACTGTTGGCAGGTACTATAAACAGACCAGAGACTGGAGTTCAAAGTAGGGCTTTGCAAAGCAGGAGCAGCAGCAGGATTGTGCTTTCTATATGCTGAATGGTGGTAAAGAGAGCTGAAGAAAAGATTCATCCTTCTAGGACAATCAGTCCTCATGCACACTGGACGTTTTTACAGCGGCTGTTTTTGGCTTTTGACATTTTTTTCTACAGCCAGTAAACTCCCCAGTTATCCTATGTGTCCATCTACACATAGACTATAATCAACGTTTTTTGGCAGGGGCATTTTTTGGCTGGAAAAACCCCCCAGAACTAGTGGGTTTCTAGTGGAGTTTTTTAGCTGTAAAAATGCTCTAACACTGAAAAACGCGGTAAATCGCGGCAAACCAGCGTTTTTGGACTTTTTTTTTTTTTTGGTCAAATAAAACTCTAAAAACCTTAATGCTGACTTAATGCTGTTTCTGCATGACCCTGGCCCTTCCCTTGTGACTGCCTTTGATATACTCTTGTCCTTTGCCACCTTCTATGGTCTTCGTACTAATTGGGAAAAATCCCTTATTATGCCCATAGACACGGATGTCAGAGGGCTAGCTGATCTGAATCTTCCTCTACAGTGGGCAGATTCTATAAAATATTTGGGCCTCATTAGCTCTCCAAATGTACATAACTTTTGCCGACTTAATTTGGAATGCACTGTGCAGACTGTCAGGCAAAGGCTAGGAGCCTGGGGCAATGTTCCCCTATCCATTATTGAACGTATTAATCTGGTAAAAATGAAGATACGTCCGGTTCTTCTTTATACCTTACGACAGTCCCGTTTGGATTCCCTAGTGATTTTTCCTTCAATTTAGTTCCCTTGTCAATTCATTCATATGGCATCCCTGCCCTTCTCAATTTAGTATGAAAATTCTCTGCTGGCCCTGGACACAGGGTGGTCTGGCGTGTCTGGATCTGCACACATATTTTTTGGTAACCCTTCTTAATCACGCACACAATTAGGTTATCTCTCTGATGACTCCAATGCGTCTGTGGTCCTGGAGGCAGCAAATCTGGGTTCCTTTGAATCCCTGCGCAAGTTGCCATATCGGGGTCCTCAGACCTCTTATTTCACCCTCACTTTGTCTATCAAGTCTGTGATTAACCTCTTGCCAACCACGCCGAATTATGTCCAGTTCTGGGAGTGCGTCTATTGTCATCCTCCCAGAACCCCCCGTGGCACGCTTTGTGATCGGTGTGTCTTCCGGTGTAAAGGGCCAATCACAGTGGCCCTTTACCATGTGATCAGTCACAGCTGATTTCATTGTAAACAGGATTTGCTGGTTATTGGAGAACAGGTAAGAGGCAGTCCACACAGGAGACATCTACACTGATAACCAGGGCACTGATCATCAGTGCTCTGATTATCAGTGCAGCCCCATCAGTGCTGCCTTTCAGTGCCAGTCAGTGATGCTTCTCAGTGCCCATCAATGCTGTCTATCAGTGTCCATCAGTGCTGCCTATCAGTGCCCATCAGTGTTGGCTTTCAGTGTCCATCAGTGTTGCCTTTCAGTGCCCAATCAGTAATGCCAGTCAGTGCTGCCTGCCAGTGCCTACTGATCAGTACCATCTATCAGTGCTGCCTATTAGTGCCACCTCTTAGTATCCATCATTGCTGCCTATCAGTGTAGCCTATCAGTGCCCACCAGTGAAGAAGAAAAATTATTATTATGGAATTTTTTATAACAGAAACTAAGAAAAACCTTTTTGTTTTTCAAAACGTTTTGCCTTTTTTTTTTGTTTGTTTAGAAAAAAAAAAAACCCAGTGGTGATTAAATACCACCAAAAGAAAGCTCTATCTGTCTCAAAAAAATTATAAAAATAATGTTGGGAGTACGGTGTTGCATGACCACACAATTGTCATTCAAAGTGCAACAGTGCTGAAAGTTGGCCTGGCCAGGAGGGGGGGGGGAGGAAATGCCCGGTAGGCAAGTGGTTAAAGTTTGGCAAATCATTATGCCTCCTGGCTCTTCGGCCTCTGCTCAATAGTCTCCACACGATCCTCTTTGGTTTAGCACACAGCTCCCAGAGTTCATGACAATTCTAGACCCCACTGTATGGAGCTTGAAAGGCATTAAATATTTGAAAGATGTTTGTGCAGGGGATTCTTCGGTCACTTTTGATAGGTCAGAACATAGCTATGAACTTCCAATTCTCTGTTCTTCAGGCTCCTACAACTCTGCCATGCTTACCATTCACAATTTAGTACCCAGTCACTTCAACTACTGCAGGACTTGGAATCCCTGTTGCGTAAAGTAGATAGCGAGGACTGGGAGAATGCTTGTGAATACCAGTTTACCCAATTAATTGCCACAACGGATAGGCCGATGCAATTTAAAATAGTGCATATGGCTTATCTTACTCCTCAACGCCTTCAAAAAATCTGCCCTGCGGTGGCACCCTATTGCTGGCTGTGTGGCGACACACCTGCTGATTTTTTCCATGTTTGTTGGTCCTGCCCCCATATTCAAGAGTTCTGGGCTGCTGTTGTTCATTTTATCGACTCACTAACCAGGATATCAATTCCCCAAACCATTGCTGTATGTCTGCTGGGTTCAGTGAATCACTTAGGCTGTATCAGAGCATCTTGCATTTTAGTAGTACCTGCCTGGTTTCTGATGCCTGCCTATAGTGCCAATGCACTTACCTGACAGGGTCTACTCTGATTACTGCTTTAACTGCTACATGTGCATATTTATATATATATATATATATATATATATATATATATATATTTTTCTCTTTGACCATGAGGTGTACCTGAGCCACTGTTGTTGGGATATTTTGTTAACTGTTTATGTTGAGCTAGGGAATGCCCAGAGGCTCTGCTTTGTAACTTTTCATACAAACTTAAATACACATTTTGCAAAACAAAACCAGTGACAAGAGGCCAAACACACAATATAGTTACAGTTCAATTCCTTGTATGGCCCATTTTACATTATTATTATGTTTTTGTTATTACACTATTTGGGCCAGTTGGGACCAATGTAAGTATGTATGTGTTATGCATATGGGTTCCCCATGGAAGCTGGAAATCACTGTGGTTGGTCAATCCTCAACACATAGCAAGGGAAATGCCACACATCAATTATGTCTTCATTGGTGAGGAGTGGTCCTGAGGGTGGGACCATGTGCTGTAGCTTGTCGATTGATTAACGTTTTGCCTATGTAGACATCATGAGTGTATGGTTTTTCCTATTACACTGAACAAAACAAAATAACACTGACAATAAACATGTTACCTAAAATGTTAATATCTAGATGGTTCTGTAATGAGTTGCTCAGCAGCTCTCGCAAGAAAGATATCAGGTAGTTGAAGACATTTCTGTGGTGCAGTGGTAACCTGGAAATAACCTAAGAAGAAGAAAATAATGATATTAATATATCTACATCTGCACCTCTCTGCCATGTCATGGCATTTTTTACAATACGCTTGCTGTATAATATAGGTGCTTTTTTCATACAAATTTGTAGTTAATGATCAATCCACTGTAACCAGTTGTAGGCTATGGGCTTTCAACACATCCAAAAGAAGGGTATTTATAGTATGCCCTGTCTTTCTTTTGTTTCCACTTCCCCTCTTTATATTTGGCTGCAATTCGCAGCTTTCAAAATAACAGCCGGGAGTTTCCGTGAAAGTACAGCAGCTATTTTAGCAGCTGCTGTCAAAAAAATGGACAGTCCAACACAGTGACTATTAACATTGTCCAGATGTGAGATAGAAAGATACAAAATATTGTCTCCAACTCAATATTCATATAGAAAAGAAAAAATGAAAACTCCAATGGCAAAGTAATCTCATTCTACCCAAACGTTCCGAGGGGGGTGGGAATATTATATCAGCATGTACACCACATGATGATGTTATGAGATGAGTTTTTTTTGTAATATACATGATGCATGTGGCTTTTTAATAAAATTCCGTTGTTGGACAAGATTGCTATGCCATTGGAGTTTTCCCTACAGCCCCTCTCCACCTCGCTCAATCACAGAACACCTTGTATTCACTGAGAAATTAAAAGGTATTTTGTGAATAGTGGCAGTGCTGAGGGGATACCACTCACACAGAGCCCAAGCAGGACCCAGAATATCGCCACTATCACTACAGCAGCTCTAACTACTGTAATGATTGTCAGCTTCCCCAGTGGCCCATCGGGTATGAGATATGCCAAGCTGGACCAATATAAATAAGCAATACAAATATTTGTTGGAGTTCATCTTTAAAGAAACCTGACAAAATATAAAGTGACATTTACAGTATACGTTTAACTACATTAATACAAATTTTTTTAAACACTGATCAAAGTGGAGAAAATGTGCATTTTATGGATTGCATAAAAAATAAAATAATTTCTGCAAGATAATATCACCAGAAGAAAGCCTTTAAATCTTGATATATGTATTATTTATTGTCATACGTAATGACAAAGTTGTTGCAGAATAAACAGGCCCATAGCAGAAATGTAAAAATTGCTTTGGTCCATAGTGGGTGTACAGGTGTGAGGGATGAAGTGGTTAAAAACTTTTTTTTTTAAATGAAAACATACAATACATGACATTTTTAATGCAAACAGATATTATATCTTCTAGTAAACTACATAATATCCCAAAAGAAACACTCTACTATTCTAATGCGTTACTAAATTATTAAATATATAAATGATCTATACACTTTACCTCTTTACTGTGGCTATAATCTCCAGCGAACTGCAGACAGGTGTTATATAAATGATAACAAACCACAGGCTCAGGAAGACCCTCCAAGTAGAGCAGTAAGGCCTCAACAACAGAATGGTTGCTTCCAGCTTTGCAGTACATTAAGGAAAAACAGCATTTTGACAGGATACAGAAGCTGATCAAGCAAGAACATTGTCCCATTAAAAGTTTACAGGGGCACCTCTGTAGATTAGTACGCGCTGTATATGCTTTGAATATATATGTTTCAGAAGTTCTTCAGTCAAACAGAAAAAGATCATTGACATAATCAGAAGCAATTTTAAACTACGCCTACCACGAATAAATGCAAATGACTAGACCTTGATCAGAAAATCTTGATCAGCAGCTTAGCTTGAGTCTGTAATAAGGATAGACTATGGCTAGTTTTTAATTTCAAATGATGTAGCTGCTTTATATCTTTGCGAATAAACTGCCTCCTGCTACAGCCAAATATTTTAAATTGGACTCATCAGTCCACAGCACCTTCAGCCATTTTTCTGCAGCCAGTTCCTATGTTTTTTTGTGCATAGTTAAGTCACTTAGCCTTGTTTCCATGTCCTATGCAAGAAAACAGAGGAACTGGGGAGCAGAAAAATGGCAGCAGGTGCTCTGGACTCATGAGTCAAAATTTGAAATATCTGGCTGTAGCAGCAAGGCAGTTTGTTGTGGAAGGGCTGGAGAGCGTGCGATAATAAGTGTCTGCAGGCATGGTGGTGGTTCCTTGCAAGTCTGGGGCTGTATTTCTGCAAAAGGATTTGGATATTTGGTCAGGATCAATGATGTCCTCAATGCTGAGAAATACAGGCAGATACTTATCCATCATGCTAAACCGTCAGGGAGGATTGTGGTTGGCCACAAATGTATTCTGCAGCTGGAAAAGGACCCCAAACATCCAACCAATGTCATTAAGAACTATCTTCATTGTAAAGAACAAGGAGTCCTGGAAGTGATTGTTTGGCCCACACAGAGCCCTGCTTATTATTATTATCACAAATTCAAATTCTCTAAATATTCCTGAAGAAACGTAAACCTTTCACCCTTGAAAGTACAAATATAAAAAAACCTTTTCTTTAAACCATTCATGAAAAAATTATTCCCCTTTCTTATCTCAAAAATGTCCTACATAAATTCAAAATTAGTCCACCACAAATCCACACTATTAGATCTTCAAACGTTGAAAAAATCTTCAAATCCAAGATACCTCAAAAAAATATAAACTAAATATAGTGCATTAACTTCTTAAACCAATATTTCAATGCAATATTTGTGATACCATGCAAAACACTCGTGACGAAGAGAAGGAAAAAAAAAAATAAATATATATATATATATATATATATATATATATATATATATATATAATATGTATATTACAACTCTATAGTGTGAATCTCACGTATAAATATACTATAGGTGAATACAGCTACACAACACACTCGTGAGGTGAAATTCACCGCAAACAACTCAGCTTGTGATTATATGCAATATATTGTGCCACCACTCTAACAGATAAGATTCACAGCAAATATTCAACTTGTGATTGTGTGCACTAATCCCAAAAACAACTGCCACCACTCTGGTAGGATTACACACTATTACCCTCTCTCAGCTTATAAAGGCATCTCCAACAATTCCAGGGTAATGTGTCGCTTTCCCCTTGCAGATATGCCTAATGCAATCTTCACCGTTCCTCTTACAATCAGGAGCACTCCCTTAGATGAGAAAGGAACCCATTCACTAACAGATGCCTTCTGAAACAAAGCCAGAACTTCAGAAGGCATCTGTTAGTGCCAAATATAATATTTCCAGTTTGATTCACTGATATATCGGCCGCCGAAAAGTATCGGCTACAAATAGGGTTATTGGCATTTTGCCGACAGAAAAAAAAGGTGCCGATAGTGGCATGCTGAGTCCCATAGACTTCAATGCAAAATTGTGTTTCATTGGCTTCAATGCAAAAATGCCCCCCAATGACTTCAATGCAAAATTGCGTCCCATAGACTTCAATGCAAAACCGCATCCTATTGACTTCAATGCAAAATCACCCCATGATGACTTCAATGCAAAAACACCAACCACAATAAATAATTTATTTTTTTAAACTTTACGTTTTGGTTTATGGCCAAGTTCATTCTGAATTTTCGGTTTAGGTTTCAACACCAGAGTTTTCATTTCAGTGCACCACTAATTTCTAGACTGTCTGCACCTGGTGCACAGACTTTGAGTTATGAAGGTCCCCTGCTTGTGAAGCTATACCTTCCTTGAAAGCTACCTAAATTGAAGCCAAACCCTCCAAAGACCAATTTTCTACATCTGACATAATCCTGCACCAACAAAACTACCATATGTATAATGTCTCAAACATGTGACTTTCTCTCCTTCCTCCCATAATTCTGGGCTGGGTACTCGACTGGCCAATCACCAGCACTGTCACATGGAGACTTGGAGAGTGTCCTTAGTCCTGTGTCAACACTAACCAGACTGATTGGAGGCTTACAAAAAGCTGTTTCTGTTCACTTCATTCAGCAAAAATGGGATGGCAAGAAAGTGAAGTTGAGGGCCAAAGTAGAGATTCCCTATAAGGTGCTGGTTGAGCCAAAAGTGATATTTCATTTACGTTAAAACAATAGCGGGCTAAACATACTAGTACTGGGTATGCTAGCCGTTTCACATTCTGCATCTTGGTACACTTTTTTAAAAATTAAAAAATCCAGCAGGGAGAATGGAAGTCCTTATGGCTGCAAGAGGGAAGCTGTGACCTTGTATTTCATAGCAAAAATCCCTCAAATGTATCAGAATGAGGTATAGGATTTAGGCTCCATGTACACTGCAGCTGATAAACTCACGTTTAGGAGCTTTTCTGCGTTTTTTTCAGCAGCCCCTGAACTCTCCCTAATGTTTTCCTATGTGTCCATGCACATATGTCGTTTACAGTTGTTTACAGGCAGTTGAGTTTACAGTCGTTTTTTTGAACGCACCAAAAACTTGCGTTCAGGAGTAGATTTTATCAGCGTTTCAAATGCTTGTAAACATGGCTAACAGCGTTTATAGGCATTTGAAATTTTTTTTAACTCTTCCATTTCCAGATGCTGTCCAGAGCCTTTTTTCATCATGAAAAATGCATGCAAAGAGTTTTCCCGGTACTCAAATGGACCTGGCACACCATACTTTGAGGTTTCGCATGAAAAAAAATATGTTAGACACTGCTGCAATAATTTCTGCACAGAAATGAGCTGGATCACATCCAAACACCACAAAAAAAAAAAAAAAAAAAAAAAGACGGCTAATCTCAACAAATACTGCTCTCTTCTTCTACTCTTTGTATTTCTCTCAGTCTGAAATAGTTAATAATTTACCATTTTCCAGTGCATTCTGAACATTTGGGAGGTTCTCCTGTGCTTATCTTTAAAAAAAGCTTCTGAATGCAAACACTCATAAACGCTTCTAAACGCACATAAACGTGGTATGCAAACGCGTTAAAACTGACGTTTTTTTAACCTGCGTTTTCCTGCTATCAATTTCCAGCATTCAGAAGAGTTCTCCAAACGCACCGTGTACATGGAGCCTTAGTTTGCTACCCCCTCCCAGATCTGAAGTTTCAGTTTTGAATAGACTGCTCCATTATGGCAGTACTGTCTGTTACAAGTGATGTTATGGTAACACTAACTTAAACCTTTTTGTGCTGCATTATTTTTTCCTGTATTTCAGCAGCAACATTGCCTAGAGTACAAATTCTACATCTTAAGGATACGAATAGATTCTGGAAATCCTGTGTCTAAGCAGTCTCTGATGGCTTCAAATTCTGATCTTAATCCAGGCTGTTGGAACAAGTCTTCCTAAACATTTAGTAAACAAAAAAAAATTGTGATTTCATTTTAACAATAAAATGTATGAAAATTAAACATAAAACATCATCAACATCATAAACAGGCAACATTTAAATGTTATTAAAGACAGACAAAAGCAATTAATTCCTCTAATCTATATAAAATTACTAGAAACATGTACTTTTTTATCTTCTACACCTACAAGACCAGTTAAAGTGGATCTTAAAACCCCAAATATGTAATATATTATACCTTCTCATCACATCTTGGATGTGGATGTATTAGTTTCCATTTTTCAGGATTTTACCTTTCATTTTAACATCAAGGTCCTGCCATTAAAACACTTCCTGCCCTAGGGTGACAATGCCTAAGATGGCCAGAAATTGCTGCTGAACCGACCAAACTTTGATTTCTCTATGCCCGTTTCCATTTGAGTGCAGTTATTCTAGTGACCAACTACTAATGAAGGGCTTGTTAAAAAATTTTTTGCTTGATCTGCACTGCAGCCAGTAGGAAATGTCAGCTATTGTTTTAGTTGTAAGGAAGAGTGTATTGGAGCTGCCAGTAGCAGAGATGAGTGATTGGTTGCCAAGGAGCCAGTACACGCAAAGAAAAGAGCTGAAAAAAAAATAGTGTGAGGTCCCTCCACCAATCCATGTCAGGCCCTTTGGGTCTGGTATGGATTTTAGGTGGGTCTCTTACCAAAAAAAAAAAAATGATGTGGGGTCCCCCCAAAATCCTTACCAAACCCTTATCTAAGCATGCGGTCTGGCAGGCCAACAAGGGACGGGGGAAAGAGCATACCAGGTCACATACCCTCAACATAGGAGGGTGCTTTTGGGGGGGCCCCTGTTGGTAAGAACAAGGGCCTTTTTCCCCAGGACCCTGGACCAGAAGTTGTGGGTGTGTGTTGGGGTGACTTATCGGAATCTGGAATCCCCCTTTAACAAGGGCGCCCCCAGATACAGGCCCTCGCCAAGTAAATGAGTATGGGATACACAGTACTCCTACTCATTCACAAAAAAAGTGTCAAGTGTAAATAAACACAGAAGACAGTTTTTGACAACTCATTTATTAACCACTTGTCCTCCAGAGGATTTACCCCCCTTCTTGACCAGGCCAATTTTCGTGATACGGCGCTGCGTTACTGTACATTAATTAAATTTATGTCCTATTTTTCCCACAAATAGAGCTTTCTTTTGGTGATATTTGATCACCTATGCGCGTTTTTTTTTTTCGTACTATAAACAAAAATGGCCGACAAGTTTAAAAAAAAAAAAAACCTATATTTTTGACTTTTTTGCTATAAAATACATCCCGTAAAAATTTTTTTTAAAAAAAAAACAAATTTCGTCACAAGTTTAGGCCAAAAAAATCCCAATATGTGTAAATTAGTTGGTTTATGTAAAAGTTTTAATGTCTACAAATGTTGGTAAATTTACTGGAATTTGAATTTTTTTTTTATACTAGTAATGGCGGCGATCAGCGACTTATAGCAGGACTGTGGGACTTCAGCGGGCATTCTGACACTGGGTGGGAACTGACTAACTGCCACTGACATTCCAATGACACTAATACAGTGATCAGTTCTAATAAAAAGCACTGACACTGTACTAATGACACTGGGCAGGAAGGGGTTTAACATCTGGGGAGATCAAAAAGTTAACTGTGTGCTGTTTTAATAATCTGCTGTGTGTGTTTTACTAGGGAAACATGCTGTGCAGAGAAATACACAGCAGCATGTTATTGCTGGCAGGAAAGAGACCGGTGTTGTTTACACACAGATCTCTCCCCTTCAGTGTTACTCGGGGACTGCCGGCTGCCGGTGGGAAATCTCCGGCCGGGACCCGGTGATTGACATCTGTAGCCGCCAATAGCAGTGTGGGCACCCCCTACCCAGAAATGCAAATCACACACATATATATATAGTGATTTTGCACAGCCCCTGTTGCTTGCCAGTGCCACATAACTTTGCCCATTCTCCCAACCACTAAAGTAAACAAAGGGGGGGGGGTGTGGGATGGGGAAATTGTATATTTTATATTTCCTTGTTATTATTGGCTCACAATATCTAATAAAGAGACAAGGATGGTCACTTTAGATGACTCACACAAAAGGAATATTACTGAATACTGACCAAGTCTTTAAAAGGTCAGATTACTTGAATGACAGGTGCTTACACCCAAGTCCAGAATATAACACACAGCTAGACTGGAAATATTTTTCTCGATCCAGAGCTGGCGTTAAGCATGCGTCTGTTCTGATCATCAGCCACGCCATGTAATGGAGGGACCCGCGGCAGAAACAGCATCTTTAGTGAAGTATTCTTGTTATATTTTCTTTTTCTTCATCTATATCTGTCATTACTTGTAATAAATGTTATACTTATAGGTATTTGTGTGATCTCTCTTTGCACATATCAATACAACTAAAACCCTAACAAAACGGGGATCCAGTGCCTTCACCGAGTGACCCCACCCCTTTGATGACATTGCAGTATGAGGAGTCCCCCGGAGACTCTGACCCATTGTTTACTTCAGCCGCGGGGCTGACTCCCTGCCTCTTATGATGTCATGACTTGTATGTAACGTCAAAAGGGGGCAGGGTCATGTTGAGGGCATATGGCCTGGTATGCGGCATGTGCACCCCCCCCTCCTTTCCTAGCCTGCATGTTTGCATAAGTGCCTGGTATGGATTGGAGGGGGGACACCTCACACCATTTTTTTTTATTTTCAGCTCTTTTGTTTACATTCACTGGAATGAGTCACTGGTTGTTAGGATGCCAGCAGGGTGCTGGCTCCTAACAACCACTGCAGAAATCAATGTAAAAACGGACCATATGCCTGTTTACATCCGTTTAGGTACACTTCCATCTTATAAAACAGAAATAAAATAAAGACTTAATCCGTTTAAAAAAAAAACAACCGCGAATGGATGTGGATGGAAATGGATGATCATCCGTTTACAACTATTTGTCCATATGCATTTGCTGCCTGTTTTTAATCCGTCAATGGATGGATGAAAAACAGACAGCTAGAACGCCTTGTGAAAAAGACCCTTACAATGATCACACCCATTACAATTTGGTTTCCAAACATATTTGTAATTTCTGCATGATTCTCACACACCTAACCAGGGGAAAACAGCATAGAGAGAACAGTGAAAATACTTTAATATTTAAAATACTATGATGTTAACACAGGCTACCCAATCAACACCATTTTATTTGTAAATACTTGAAAAAATTATATCAAACATCCATTATTTTGAACTTCCAATATTTCCTTAGAATGAGAAGAAAGGAGGAGTGAAGTCTGACCTGTTGTGATGCGTTCCGATACAAATGGTCAACCATCATGAACAGCTCTTTTGGAATATCCAATGGTTTTTCTGCACCAACAAAGTTATCCTTCATTTGAAGAGGCATACGTGCCTGAAGGTGGGAAAATCATACAACATTAGGATACCTATTTCACTAAAGTTAATATACACTAACCAGCCATAAAATTATGACCACTGACAGGTAAAGTGAATAACATTGATTAGCTCGTTACAATGACATTTGAAAGTGGGTGGGATATATTAGGCAGCAAGTAAACATGTTGTCCCTGAGGCTGCTGTGTTGAAGACAGAAAAAAATGGGAAAGCTTAAAGATTTGAGTGACTTTAACAACTGCCAAATTGTAATGGCTAGACGACTGGATCAGAGCATCTCCAAAACTGCAGCTCTTGTGGGTTATTCCTGGTCTGCAGTGGTCCGGACTTACCAAAAGAGGTCCAAAGAAGGAAAATCAGCGAACTGACGACAGGGTCATGGGTGGTCAAAAGTTCAATTAAGGCACATGGGAAGGGAAGGGAACACTGGCCCATGTATGTATTCCAATAGAAGAGCCACTGTAGCTCATATTGCTGAAAGAATTAATGTTGGGTCCGACAGAAAGGTGTCAGGACACACAGTGCATTGCAGTTTGTTGCATATGGGGCTTAGTAGCTGAAGACCAGTCAGAGTGCCCATGCTGGCCTGTGTCCACAACCAAAAATGCTTACAATGGGCATGTGAGCATCAGAAAATGGATCACGGAGCAATGGAAAAAGGTGGCCTGGTCTGATGAATTCAAGGAAAGTTTGAGGAACAAGAGTATGAGTTGATAACTTGGCTTCCAAATACTACAGATCTCTATTCCGGTCAAGTGGGATGCACTGGTAAAACAACTTACAGGTCTTAAGGGATCTGGTACTGACAGCTTGGTGCCAGATACCACCACAGGATACCTTCAGAGGTCTAGTGGAGTTCATGCCTCGACAGGTATTGTTGGGTATCATAATGTTAATGTTGTTAGTGTATGGTAATGTAAAGCTGTTACAATGTTATGTGATCATACCAATTCATGGATTGCGTCTTGAGACATATCTCTGATAGGTTCTCTCATATGGCACATCATTTGAATGGAGGATCCAAAGCAACTATGCAGATAATTTCCAGTCACCGAGAGAAAAAAGTCCTTTCCTCTATCCAAGTGGAGGATTAAAATATCTTCTAATTTTTCTTCACCAGAATTGAGTTGGGCAGCTGATTGGTTATTTACAAACAACTCCAGTTCTATTTGCGCTTCTGAGCCTAAACAAACAAAAGAATATAGGTTGGATTTGATAGTAAATTGTATTGCATTAAGAGTATTCAATAAAATAGGGAAATCAGAGATGATAGGCAAAATGTGCTAACCTAATAGCAACCACCAGATGTTAGTCTGATGTAGTTCAGTCATTTCTGTGAAAAGTATGTGCAGATCATCACTACTCATTTGTCAACAGGTTTCAACTGAATTTTCAACCTTTGTGACTGGATCTACAATTGAAGCTTAACCAAATTCAAACACAATTACTGTTGGAGGAATGACTACAAATTCCTTACAGCTACAAAGATACCCAAACAAAAGTTTATTGATTTACTCTAATATGGGTCAATATCTTTCCATCTACATTTCTGAAACGCCCACTTGTATTCCGTCTATTGTTATCCACCAGTTCCACAGTAACAAAAGAGCGAGGCCATACAAACTATAAAGAGCGTTACTTCATGAAATGCAGAAACAATTGAGTACTTCCGTGATACTTTTTTTTTATTTTGCACTAACATACAATTTTGAGGACAAGCTTTCGGGTATGTCCCCTTCTTCAAGGTCTAAGCAGTACTATTAAAAATCACAAAGTTTAAGCAGAATGTTAGAATGGATTGAGAGAAAAAAAAAAAAAAAAAAAAAAAGGGCTACAGATAAGATACATCAAAAGTGAGGGGGAGGGGGGATACAACACTCACACAGAGGGGTCAAGTTTTAGCTAATAGATAGTCATAAAGCTGTCGGATAGTGGTTGAGGAATCCCATGTCCAAATTAAGACTGTTATCTTTAGTGTCAAATAAAGATAACTAAAGATAACGGTCTTAATTTGGACATGGGATTCCTCAACCACTATCCGACAGCTTTATGACTATCTATTAGCTAAAACTTGACCCCCTCTGTGTGAGTTTTGTATCCCCCTCCCCCCCTCACTTTTGATGTATCTTATCTGTAGCCCTTTTTTTTTTTTTTTTCTCTCAATCCATTCTAACATTCTGCTTAAACTTGTGATTTTTAATAGTACTGCTTAGACCTTGAAGAAGGGGACATACCCCGAAAGCTTGTCCTCAAAATTGTATGTTAGTGCAAATAAAAAAAGTATCACGGACAGTACTCAATTGTTTCTGTCGCAAATGCACTAATACGGCTACAATCACCTCAAGCTTCATGAAATGCAGAAACATAGATTTCATGTGGATCTAAATCCGCTTCTGCTTTTCCATGAAAACTACCAATTGCTAATAGCCACAATTTAGAGAACATGGTACATGGCACTGGTTGATTCTGCCCATAATACCCTTTGTGTCCTAGGATGACAACACTCGCTCACTATACTGTGTCTATGGAAGATCAATATTGTCTCCCTAAGCCTGAAAGTGTGCTAGGACTACAGAACGCATTCCCTTCTCTTTATCTCCATGGCATGTGTTCTGTAGTCTGCAGTATCACATCATTTAGGCTCAAACCCATGTTCTATTTCCAAAATTATATATATATATATATATATATATATATACACACACACACACACACACACACACACACATATGCACACACATACACACACATGCATACACACGCACACACACACAGTGTTCAGCATAAATGAGTACATTTCTTTTAAAAAGTAAGATTTTCTGTTTCAATATTTTTATTAAAGAAAGTTTTGTTTTAGGAACACAAGAAGCTCAATATACTCCCACGCAGGGGCCAAGCATAACAATAACACAGAAACAGATACATCCTGCTGACTTGTATTAGCCAAATAACAAAATGTCCAATGACAGCAAGGGAGGACGGCAAAAAGCCGAATCAAATATTATCAGCAGTAGTCCAACATAATACCATAAAGAGAAGAGGAAAGGAAAAAGGTTAGAAGAAAGGAAAAAGAAAATAAAAATGACAAAAAAAAAAAAAATAAGAAAGAAAAAACAGAGGAAAGGGAAACTAGGAGAATCACAGATCCAGGGCTAGCACAGGCAGCAACTACAAGAGGCCATAACTAGTAGGGGGTAGGAATGGCAAGGAATATCGTATCCGAGGTTCCCAAACCTTAAGGAATCTCAGGTGAGAATCATGAAGAATGCTAGACATCTGTTCATTGATCAAAATATCATTCATCTGGGTCTTCACCCCTTGGAAGACAACCGAAGGGGTTCTCCAAGCTTGAACTATGGCACGTTTGGCCGAAATAAATAGGTAGGATGCCAATTTCTGCTGAGATCTAGACAGACCCAAAATTGGGCAGTGCACAAGAGTCAACCTTGCATCCTTATGGACTGTAATGTGAAATAGCGTTTGTAGCAAACCAAAAACCCTAGACCAGAAGCCTGTCAATCGCGGGCATGACCACCATATGTGTAAGTCGTCCCCGCGTAGACCACAGTTCCAGAAACATCTATCTCCGCCAGGCGGATTAAAGTGAGCAATCCGAGTCGGGACCCAGTACCACCGCAGGAGAACTTTGTAGGCTGCCTCAAGAGTGACTGTATTGAATGAACATTTCGCCACCATCCCCCAAAAAGTAAGATTTTAATCAATATCTCAATGAACACAACAGCAATTTTCTAAATTTTAAAAACTGAGTCTTATAGAATGTTTGTTTAGCTCATTACATGACAGTAAGGTTAATAATATAACTTAGATTACAAAATCTTAGATATAATATTAATTATTATTATATTAGTAATCTCAGTTTTACCCAAATGATGCAAAAATGAATACACCCCACAACAAAACCGACTACATCTAGTATTTTGTATGACCTCCATGATTTGTAAGAACAGCATTAAGTCTTCTAGGCATGGAATGAACAAGTTGGCAAAATATTGCAACATCTATCTTTTTTCCATTCTTCAAGAACCACCTCTTTTAGAGCCTGGATGCTGGGTGGAGAGTGATGCTCAACTTGTCTCCTCAGAATTCCCCATAGGTGTTTGAATGGATTCAGATCAGAAGACATACTTGGCCACTGAATCACTTTCGCCATGTTCTTCTTCAGAAATGCAACAGTGGCCTTAGATGGGTTTTTGGATCATTGTCATGTTGGAAAAATGCACGACGACCACAGAGTGATGGTAGCATTTTCTGTTTCAATAGTACATCTGCAAATTCATGATACCATCAATGAAATGCAGCTCCCCGACACCAGCAGCACTTATTCAGCCCCACAGAAGGACACTGCCACCACGTTTCACTGTGGGCACCATGCATTTTTCTTTGTACTCCTCAACTTTGCAACACCGTACAGTTTTGAAGACATCCGTTCCAAAAACATTTATCTTGGTTCTTCACTCTAGAGTACAGATTCCCAGTAGTCTTCTTTTTCAGAATGGGCCCTGACAAATTCTAGGTGGCCTTTTTTATGTGCATGGGCTTTAGGAGAGGCTTCCTTCGTGTATGACACCCATGCATGTCATTCCTCTGCAGTGTAAGCCGTATTTTGTCATGGGAAACAATCACCCCAGTTTGGTTTTCTACTTCTTTAGCTAACTGCAGTGAACTTGCATGGTGATCTTCTTCAACCCTTCTCATCAGAAGACGCTCCTGTCGAGGTGTTAAGTTCCGTGGACGGCCTGGACGTCTCTGTGAGATGGTTGCAGTTCCATCTTTGTTAAATTTTTGTACCACTTTTGCTACAGTATTCTGACTGATAAGTAAAGCTTTGCTGATCTTCCTGTAGCCTTCACTTTTCTTGTGTAAAGAAATTATTTTCTCTCAGGCCTTGTGACATTTCTCTTCCATGTGGTGCCATTGCTGACAGCATGAAATGGGAAGGGGTTTTCTTTGTTAAATAATGCCCTTTAATAATCAACTGTCTGCTGGACACCTGTTTAATGAATAATTAGACGCACCTATAGTTAAATTCTTGTTTGTAAAGATTTTGTTGTCTAAAATTTAGCTTTGTTCTTAAGACTTTCATTGGGGTGCATTCATTTTTGCAACATGGTCTTGAATGAATTTGTTAGGAAAAATACTTTTTTGTGAATGCAAATTAACAAATCTTGTTTGCAATCAATGGCCTGCATTTGTGGGAGTATTTTGTAACATAGTGTCCCATAGAAAAATTCTGAAAGGAAAGTAAAGGTTTTCTGACAAATCTGCTGGGGTGTACTCATTTATGCTGAGCACTGCATATATACAGTTTTTTTTTCCATGTACAGCATTTGCAGAACATTTATTGTTTTGATTAGAATCTGTTCACACTGTTGCATTGCAGTGCATTAGAAGCAAGTTCTGTATGCTGCATTGTGGTATTAACCTGCATGTTGCCATCTAGATCAGGCCCAACGGAACCTTTCAAAAATGCAACACAAATCAATGCATGTACTGTGGCCTCTACAAATGAGCAATGGGAGCGGTTTCAAGGTGACAGAACCATCGCACAAAAAAGACTCATTTTACAAAAAAAACAATATAAATAAAGGTGTACCTGGTGTTAGGAATCCTTTGCTTGGATTAGCTCGGAGCCACTGTTTACTGTAAGAAGGCTCATCCAACTTACTTATGAACTCATACTGACATGCCACTTGTCCATCATTATGAATGGTGAATGTCTGAACCTGTAGCTGCATGTACTTCACATCCTTGAAGTGAAACTAAGAAAGAGACAAACATCAGCACGTTCAGCTTGCCTAGCAAGTAACCCATAAAACACAAAAACTTTCCCCTTGTCTAGCTGTGTATAATACATAGGACAATGACACACTTATGCAATATTATTTCACAAGTACCATTGTAATTATCGCTGAATTGCCAATTCAATCTACCCAGACTCGAATTTCCATGTAATCGGGCTACATCACACTGTGGTTGTCTTATGCAAGACATAAATAAAGGCAAAAGCGGTACAATACAGCTTGGGCCATGTCTAGAAAAAGGGAAGCTCACACACTACCAAGATTCTCCATCCTTCCACTGTAATTTGCAGACTACAGAGCCTATTGCAACCTTTTAGCATTGTATTGGTCAGGATGATTCACTGTATGCCTGGCACATACAGAGAAATCTAGAGGTGTAGCTGGAAATAGTCAGCAAATTATTTTTCTTTTAACTTGCATAAGCATACAGTCAGATGTACAGTACATAGAGAACAATAAACCCCTTTGTGAGCACACAGGGACTCAGAAAAGCTCTGCCAGATTACACTGTGCACTAGGTGATTTGTATTTGGAGTCAAAGTTCAAATTATCTTTTAAAGGAAACCATATACACTCACTGGCCACTTTATTAGGTACACCTTGCTAGTACCAGGTTGGACCCCCTTTTGCCTTCAGATCTGCCTTAATTCTTCATGATATGGATTCAATAAGGTGTTCAAAACATTCCTCAGAGATTTTGGTCCATATTGACATGAGTTACTGTTGCCTTTCTATCATCTTAAACCAGTCTGCCCATTCTCCTCTGAGCTCTGACATCAACAAGGCATTTTTGTCCACACAACTGCCACTCACTGGATATTTTCCCTTTTTCGGTCCATTCTCTGTAAACCCTTGAGATAGGTGTGCGTGAAAATCCCAGTAGATCAGCAGTTTTTGAAATACTCAGACCAGCCCATCTGGCACCAACAATCATGCCACATTCAAAGTCACCTAAATCCCCTTTCCTCCTCATTCTGAGGCTCAGTTTGAACTTCAGGAAGTTGTCTTCACCACGTCTAGATGCCTAAATACATTGAGTTGCTGCCATGTGATTGGCTGACTAGCAATTTGTGTTAACAAGCAATTGAACAGGTGTACCTAATAAAGTGGCTGGTGAGTGTATATAGTACATCTTGCTCAATCTTGTTCTTTAGCTCAGTCAAAGAACATAAAGGCAGCAGAAATTTGGCCCTAAATACTAAATACAAGAGAAATGAAGACATATGGGTCAACTGGCCAGTCTATCTACCTAGATCAATTCCACCAACCAGTCAGCTACTTAAAGCAGAACTTCACTCTCTCAGTTAAACTTCACTCACCCAATCAACATTGAATATTTTTAATCCTTATGCTGCTAGCATTAGTAAATTGATAGGAAAGTAAAATAAAATAACCAAATAGCATTTTTTGGTTTTTGGTGCTCAGAGGCAGGTTAGTTCTACATTAAATGGAATGTATAACATTTTTATTGATTTCCAAGGTATATGTGCAAAAGTTCAGGATTTCTAGTGTTAACATGTGGTTACACCCCTTTAGCACCTGATCAGTAAATGCATGTACAAGCTTTTGGGATTTAACCACAGGTATATCTTGTTTCTGTCGCACAGTGGGTCAGTAGCCAGACCTAAACCTAGTAGCTCTCCCTCCACTTTGTGTCTGTTTGTCCCAGGTTGGCATTGTGTCCACAGTAACATTTGCGTTGGCAGAGCAGAGTAGGACTGGACATAGAGGGATTACTTTGATGTGGCTGGCTAGCCTAAACATATATTGCAATATGAATTAAATAACTCAAGAACTTACTATGGTGAATAAAAAACAAAAAATACACATATATAAATATAAATACTGTAGCCGCTAGTGCACACAACCCATGTCTCAGTGGGGCAAACAATAAGAATAAAGGTGAAGAAAAAAATGCTGCGCTACATCAAAAAAAAAATGCACAATACATATGAATCAAAAAATGTGAAAAATAAAAAATTAAATACGAAAACCAAGAATCACCCAAACCAAAACAAAGAATAATAATTTTGAATCAACTAAAAAAAAGTCATTATAAACTCAAGTCTAATCAAAATAGTGTTCTTCTGTAAACCCTCCTGTGGATAATGAAAATATGTGCAGCTGTCACAAATTCCAGTGAGAAAACATCCTCCACCATATATCTGCTCACCTCACGCAGTGTGACCTTACATTGTACAATGTTACAGTCTAACTGCACTTTTGGTCCCAATTGGACTCAGAATATCAGCTTGTTAAATGAGGTCTCCAAAGTATGCTTCCTCCTTATAAACGTCTTGGTGTAATCCTTATTCCTCATTAAAAAGAACTCAACAGAGTGCTTTATCCTTTTAAACTTTTATTAGCATAAAACATAGGAAATGCACTCACGTACTGGAGGTGCATATCTGCACCACCTATGATGAATATCTGGCAATATATCGATTAAGCACAAGATGGCAGTATCATCTGAACAGCAGAGTCCTGTATGAGCTCGGAAAACTGTCACCATACGGAATGTATTGTAAGGCAAAGCACGGGCCCTCCTCTGTAAATGCAATTGCCTGCTAAAATGCCGTTCCTGGAGCGGTTTCACAAATACTACTGCCAGTTTCAACACCCTTCTTGCAGAAGTGATTGCCACTAGGAAAAAAACCTTCCAGGTCAACAGGACTAGTGGAATCTCCCTAATAGGCTCAAACGGTGGTCTCTGCAAAATCTCCAAGACCAAGTTCAATTCCCACAAACATAAACATACACCTCTAGATTTCTCTGTATGTGCGGAGCTAAACACATTACTCCTTGCAAAAGGTACGAACTAGGGAGTGAGATGCAATGGGCCTCTGGAAAAAAAATTGCCAGAGCTAAAACCTGGCCTTTAATAGTACTAACGGCCAATTTCTTTTCCAGACCTGACTGAAGAAACGACAGGATCCTACCAATCACATATTTCCGTGGGTGCCATTTCTGGACCTCACAACAGGCAATGTAAGCCTTTTAAGTTCTGTAATAAATATTCCTAGAAACTATCTTTCTAGCACTCAACATAATGGGAATGACAGAAACGATACCCACCTATCCTTTAGGATCCGGGTTCCAATAGCCATGCCATCAAATTTAGCAACCGTAAAGCTGGGTGCAATATAGGACGTTAAGGCAGCAGGTCTGGCCTGAACGGCAGAGACCAAGGCCCGACTACTGCCAGTCTCACTATGTCAGCGCACTAGGCCCTCCTGGGCCAGGCAGGGGGATCAGAATCACTGGAACAGACTCCTCCTGATTGCTGTGTAGGACACATGGCAACAGCTGAACCAGAGGCAAGGCATAGATTAGGGAAAACTGACTCCAAAGAACCACTAAAGCATCCACCCCTGCCGCACGAGGTTCTCTCATCCTGGCCACAAAACAGGTTGACCTTGTTGTTGAACCTGTATTCCAAATGATCTACGTCCAGGCAAGCCCTTCACTGGGAGATTGCCGAAAAAAACCTCGGGAAGCAAAGCCCATTACCCCAGAATCAACCGTCGATGGCTGAGATAACCCCCTGCCAAATCACTACGCCCTGAATGAAAACCACTGACAAAATGTAATTCAACCAGTCTTGTCTCAGCAGTACCTTGGGAGACAGAGACAGGGCTGGAACCTTCTTCTTCTAAACAGTCACAATGTTCTTTTTCAGCGGTCTGGAGTGGAATTGTGTATAGGGTATCGCCTCGAATAAGGACACCATCTTCCCCAGCAATCTCATACAGAGGTGAATGGAAGGATACCTCTTGGCCCTTAAACTGCAGACCTGGTCTCTCAGGGCACATTTACCTGGAGGCAGAATTATTTTTGCCTGAACCATGTCTAGAATCATCCCCAAATAATCCAGGCTCTGTACTGGCTCCAGGGCTGACTTTTCAAAGTTGAGCACCCAGCCCAGTTGTTCCAGGACCTGAACCGTAAGGGTCACATCCTGCTCCAGACCTGGCACCGCCTGACCTCTGAGCAACAGATAGTCTAGAAAACCTACGACTGATATCCCTCGAATTCTGAGCAGCCCCAACACTGGAGCCAGACCCTTCATAAACTATCGCGGCCAGCCCAAATGGCAGAGCTATGAATTGGAAATGCCGAACCCTTACTGCAAAGCGCAAAAAATGTTGGTGAAAGATAAAATAATGGTGCATACAGGTATGTGTCCTTGATGTTTTGGGATGCAAAAAAATCTTCCTGAGTAACGAGGCCGTTACTGACCGAACGGATTCCATACAAAAGGATCGGACATTTAGAAACCAATTTAGAGCCTTGAGGTCCAAAATGGTGCCTTACATCCCCATTTGGCTTTGGGACTATGAACAGGTTTGAATAAAAACCTTGAAACTTCTCGTCTGCTGGAACTTCCATGATCAACCCCTGACAACAAGCGATCGAGTGCCTGCAACAGCCCTTTTTTCTGGATTCTTAGGTACATTTGATTGTAGAAACCAGGGAGGAGGGAAGGCCCGAAACTCTAGTCTGTACCCCTGAGAAACCGTAGAAATGACCCACCTGTCCTGGATTAGAGTTTTCTAGGCAGTTGCAAAATTCAAAAGCCTTCCCCACCCTTACCCGAACGACTGGGGGTGCTCCTTCGTAAGGAGGCAGACTTAGGTTCTGTGTTGGCTGATTTTTGCACCCAGGGTCTGCTTGGGTTCTGACCTTGCGTCCTATCCGCAGAGGCTAGGGCCTGTGTGCAATGAAACAACTGTCTGGTAGAGGAGGGTTCAGCCGCCAAAGCCATTGATCTGTTAAAAGAAGAGTGCTTGGATTTCCTTTTTAAGGCAACAGAGAACTCTTTCCTCCTGAAATCTTTTGGATATATTTATAAAAATCTTCCCAAACAGTAGCTCCCCATGATAGGGAAAACCTGCCAACAATTACTTGCATGGCAGTTCCGCTGACCAACTCTTCAGCCACAAAACCCTGCGCATGTGAACTCATAAGAGGGCCATGGGAGAAATTTGCTGAATTCAATCCTTAAGAGCATCCACCACAAAATATAAAGAATGTAGAATATCCTCCAAATCCTTGGCTGAATATTCTTCCTGCACTGATGGCCTTTCCTGCAATGTTTGACAAGGTCTGAAAGACACTGCCAAATACCAATAGCTGCTACTGCTGGCTGTGTGGCTGAACCTGCCAGAGAGAAGGAGGCCTTAAACAGGGATTCCAGCTTCTTATCTGCTGGATCCTTCAAAACCTGGACGTAATCCACAAGACATGCTAATGCCCTATTCAGGGATGAAACAGCTGCATCAACCACAGGCATGCCCCATTTTTTTTTTAAACAAATTTCTCTTCCATAGAATATAAGAGAAAATCTTTTTGGCAGGACAAAAATCCTATCCAGGTGATCCCAATCAGCATACATAATTTGTTCCAAGAGAGGATGCACCAGAAAAGCCTGAGTAATCTGCTGAGGCCTTAAAGAGCCAAGAGAAGAATACGTAACCTCAGAGGATTCAATGGGAGGTAACCTGAATCCTAAACGGACCAGATCAGTAAGGTCCTGAACTAATAAACTTTAAGACCGAGAAACCAAAACCACCAGTTTCTCCTCAGGCTGAAACCCTGCAGATAGAGACTTTACTGCCTGACCCTCTTCCAGGTCCTCTAATGCCACCTCATCCTCTGGTTTCATCCATTCCTGGTCAAGGACCAATGGATCCGGCAAAAAGGATCTCTCCCACTTCCTATTCACCTGAGAAGCAGATGCAATCATTCTTGCGATCTTGTCTTCTAAACCCGCTAAGGCTGAAACAAGATCCGTCTTGGTTACATACGTCAAAGCAGACTCTGCGACCAGAACTGCAACTACGTTCCTCCAGACCTGATGGTGGTGCACATGTGCCTTTTCCTGTTGTGCCTCCCCCACCCCGCTTTCTGGAAGACATCCCTTCCTACAGCTCTCAATCTGAATTAAAAACAGAGACCCTGTGATACAGTTATGCCAGCTAGTGTGACCAAATAAACTTACTGCAAATGCTGACTTCCGGGATCATCAAAAAAGGGTACAGCCTCCTGTCTGAACTGACCAATGTTTGCCCCAGGGGAGTACTCACATGCCCACTGAATAACCTGCTCTGTGTCCCGGCCACCTCCAGTTGCAGCAGCGCCACGTGTGCCCAGGAACGCCAGATACATACAGTCAGGTCCATAAATATTGGGACATTGATACAATTCTAACATTTTTGGCTGTATACACCACCACAATGGATTTGAAATGAAATGAACAAGATGTGCTTTAACTGCAGACTGTCAGCTATAATTTGAGGGTATTTACATCCAAATCAGGTGAACGGTGTAGGAATTACAACAGTTTGCATATGTGTCTCCCACTTGTTAAGGGACCAAAAGTAATGGGACAGAATTATAATCATAAATCAAACTTTGACTTTTTAATACTTGGTTGCAAATCCTTTGCAGTCAATTACAGCCTGAAGTCTGGAACGCATAGACATCACCAGACGCTGGGTTTCATCCCTGGTGATGCTCTGCCAAGCCTCTACTGCAACTGTCTTCAGTTCCTGCTTGTTCTTGGGGCATTTTCCCTTCAGTTTTGTCTTCAGCAAGTGAAATGCATGCTCAATCGGATTCAGGTCAGATGATTGACTTGGCCATTGCATAACATTCCACTTCTTTCCCTTAAAAAACTCTTTGGTTGCCTTTGTAGTATGCTTTGGGTCATTGTCCATCTGCACTGTGAAGCGGCGTCCAATGAGTTCTGAAGCATTTGGCTGAATATGAACAGATAATATTGCCCAAAACACTTCAGAATTCATCCTGCTGCTTTTGTCAGCAGTCACATCATCAATAAATACAAGAGAACCAGTTCCATTGGCAGCCATACATGCCCATGCCATGACACTACCACCACCATGCTTCACTGATGAGGTGCTTAGGATCATGAGCAGTTCCTTTCCTTCTCCATACTCTTCTCTTCCCATCACTCTGGTACAAGTTGATCTTGGTCTCATCTGTCCATAGGATGTTGTTCCAGAACTGTGAAGGCTTTTTTAGATGTCATTTGGCAAACTCTAATCTGGCCTTCCTGTTTTTGAGGCTCACCAATGGTTTACATCTTGTGGTGAACCCTCTGTATTCACTCTGGTGAAGTCTTCTCTTGATTGTTGACTTTGACACACATACACCTACCTCCTGGAGAGTGTTCTTGATCTGGCCAACTGTTGTGAAGGGTGTTTTCTTCACCAGGGAAAGAATTCTTCGGTCATCCACCACAGTTGTTTTCCATGGTCTTCCGGTCTTTTGGTGTTGCTGAGCTCACCGGTGCGTTCCTTCTTTTTAAGAATGTTCCAAACAGTTGTTTTGGCCATGCCTAATGTTTTTGCTATCTTTCTGATGGGTTTGTTTTGTTTTTTCAGCCTAATGATGGTTTGCTTCACTGATAGTGATAGCTCTTTGGATCTCATCTTGAGAGTTGACAGCAACAGATTCCAAATGCAAATAGCACACTTGAAATGAACTCTGGACCTTTTATCTGTTCATTGTAATTGGGATAATGAGGGAATAACACACACCTGGCCATGGAACAGTTGAGAAGCCAATTGTCCCATTACTTTTGGTCCCTTAACAAGTGGGATGCACATATGCAAACTGTTGTAATTCCTACACCATTCACCTGATTTGGATGTAAATACCCTCAAATTAAAGCTGACAGTCCGCAGTTAAAGCACAACTTGTTCGTTTCATTTCAAATCAATTGTGGTGGTGTATAGAGCCAAAAATGTTAGAATTGTGTCGATGTCCCAATATTTATGGACCTGACTGTAAATAAATATGGCTGACTTCCTCTTCCAGCTGTTACTGCCCATGCACGCCCTGTAGCTGTTGCTGGCCGTTTCTCCACCAGGCTGCTCACCCTAGAGGCACCAAAAAAAAAACACCACCCAGGCCTAAGCAATGAAGCACTCCCCCTAGTGGCAACCTTCACCAATCACTACGCTTGTTTTCCCTCCATTTTCCTTTTCCTTCTTTCATCAAAAAGGAGAAAAAGAGGAGGCACCTTACCATTCCCTCCACAGGACTCAGCATTACACAAAGAGTCTAACCTTCACCCATCACGGCAGGCTCTGTGTCCTGTGATGTACGGTAAAGAAATTGGGTGTCTTCTCCCCTCTGCAGTTAATCTACAAAGCACTCTATTTAATGTAATAAGGAAAATACGGAGGAGCAGAAAAGTAAATAATGCGATAGGTGCATATAATATTGTAAAACACAACAACAATAATTCAAAATATGTGCTCACTAAAAATACACCATGTTTTCTCTTTAAAATGACATTTTATAGTACAACACAACCCAGCATCAGTAAAGAAGCATCTTTACCTCTCTCTGAGAAAGTGTAGCTGAAGGAATGCAGTCATTCTCCATTTTATCCAAGGAACGGACAATTTCCTCGAATGTTTTTCTATATAGCTCTTCATTAACCACTTTTACCTGAAAAGGAAACAGAGAAAGGAATGAAGTAGTAGAAGACTTCCTCTTACAATCATCACAGGAATATTCTGTATAGTAATTACCACAAATATCTAAAGATGGTCACACACAAAGTGATCAATTAAGATATAAGCGATTGCAAACAAGCCATGGAACATTGATTAAATTGTCAAACAAAAGGGTATTATTCTGCATTGCAACTGACTGAAAATATTGAAATACAATAAATCAGTTATAATTGTAAATGATCTATTGAAAATGATCACTTAACCAATCTGAGTCTAGATCAGCTATCCCGAAACATGCAAATGTGACACAAATCGACAAAACTCTGCCAATCATCTTGGTAGAGTCAAAATTGATCAAGACCTTACCAAATCGATCAAATAAAGGATCTTTGGTTTGCAATTTTTATTCAATTGTGTCATTTTAGTCAAATTGTACGACCATATCAATACATGTGTCAACCTTAATGGTGACTGAATTATATAGAATGGACTGTTTAGAATAATACACTGGATGGTGTACTTCTCTATTGTAATTTATAAGGACATTAGGGTTTAAAATGAGTTTTGTATTCATATAAAGCCACAGGGATGAAGGTCAGTTAAATGCCAATAGCTGTAAAGTGGAACTAAACCCATTTATTTACCAGTTTCAAAAAACAGTTACATTCCCAGCATGTGCCCAGAATGTAACTGTCAGATTTGCTGGTGCTCTCAACCAAACTGTCAAACTATCAAAAGGTCATAGCGGATCACATGTGCAGCACCATGGCAGTTGCAGATCAAACAGAGGCTAAGATGACAGCTTCCTTGGCTAAGAAAGATAGGAGGGTTTAGTTTCACTTTAAAAATTGATTGAAAGAGATATGATGTGTCTTACATTTCCTAACACCGACAATGATCCACACTGTGACAACCTGGGTAAATGTATAAAGTGAAATGCTTGCTTTGTATTCGTAGAGAAGAAAGCTTCAACCCATTTATCACACACGTCTATATGCAAGTATACCATAACGGCAAGAGAAAATTGGCATGGCCTAAGTGTTACTTGAGATTGTTTATTGATGAAATATAGCATGCCATAGAATAAGTATACAACATAAGACAGTCAAGGCCTAAAGTAGGGGTAAAGTTACTTTGAAGATTCAGTACTACTCAAGAGCATTGGATAAAGTGTTGTATGACATATTAAAGGTGATTTGTAGCCATTTACAAAAAGCCATTACTGGCCAATTTTTCGTAACCGTAATGTTAATTTGTTTACCTTCTATTCGGACTTCAATTCTGGTCAAAAGTTATTGCTGTCAAGCTGTGTGGCTGCAGAGTAGTAATACAGACACTGCTTTGGGAGGGAGGGATTCAGAAGACCATGCTCAGTAACATTCACTTACAATTGTGTTTAAAATAATAGCAGTGTGTTGAAAAAAGTGAATAAAGCTCAAAATCCTTCTAACTGCTTTTATCTCCATACACACAAATACATTGGGAACACTACACATTCTATTCCAAATCAAAACAGGAAGAAAAATATATCAAATTTGTGTTGTTCCTCTAAAAAAATTGAAGAAAAGTGAATATTAGACTGTTCAAAAAAATAGCAGTGTTTGTATTCTTCTTTACGAACGCAAACATTCACTATATAAACTGAAAAATGTTTGAAGATTTTGCTTTCCTTTGAATCTCTTAATTAATATTTAGTTGTATAAGCACTGTTTCTGAGAACTGCTGTACATCTGTGTTGCATGGAGTCAACCAACTTCTGGCACCTGTGAACAGGTATTCCAGCCCAGGATGATTGGACTACATTCCACAGTTCTTCTCTATTTCTTGGTTTTGCCTCAGAAACTGCATTTTTTATGTCACCGCACAAGTTTTCTATTGGATTAAGATCCGGGGATTGGGCTGGCCACTCCATAACGTCAATCTTGTTGGTCTGGAACCAAGATGTTGCACGTTTACTGGTGTGTTTGGGGTCGTTGTCTTGTTGGAACACCCATTTCAAGGGCATTTCCTCGTAAGCATAAGACAGCATGACCTCTTCAAGTATTCTGATGTATTCAAACTGATCCTTGATCCCTGGTATGCGATAAATAGGCCCAACACCATAGTATGAGAAACATCCCCATATCATGATGCTTATGCAACCATGCTTCACTGTCTTCACAGTGTACTGTGGCTTGAATTCAGTGTTTGGGGATCGTCTGACCAACTGTCTCTGGCCACTAGACCCAAAAAGAACACAATCTTACTTTCATCAGTCCACAAAATGTTGCGCCATTTCTCTTTAGGCCAGTCAATGTGCTCTTTGGCAAATTGTAACCTCTTAAGCACATCTTTTTTTCAACAGTGGGACTTTGCGGGGGCTTCTTGCAGATAGCTTGGCTTCACATAGGCGTCTTCTAATTGTAACAGTACTCACAGGTAACTTTAGACCTTCTTTGATCTTCCTGGAGCTGATTGTTGGATGAGTCCTTGCCATTTTGGCTATTCTTCTATTCATTTGAATGGTAGTTTTTCACTTTCTTCCACGTCTTTCAGGTTTTGGTTGCCATTTTAAAGCATTTGTGATCATTTTAGCTGAGCAGCCTATCATTTTCTGAACTTCTTTATATGTTTTCCCCTCTCCAATCAACTTTTTAATCAAGGTACGCTGTTCTTCTGAACAATGTCTGGAACGACCCATTTTCCTCAGAATTTCAGAGAGAAATGCACTGTAACCAGCATGTACAACATTTGCTGCCTTCCTTCCTTAAATAAGGGAAATAATTGCCACCTGTTTTTCAAAGAATGAATGACCTCACTAATAGAACTCCACACTGCTATTATTTTGAACATGCCCCTTTCAATTAGTGATTCAATTACACAGGATCAGCAGCATGCATGTCATGACTGTTGTGTCTGTTGGATTTCTATTACTCTACTACACCTGCTAGTAAATTATTTGCCATGTAGAAATATCATTTCTACCAAAAACAGTGATTGATCAGGTTAGTGATGTCTGACCGCTATTATTATGAACACAACTGTATATGATCGGAGTATCAGTGGGTGCTCTGTGTACACAGGAGATGTGTACATAGTGGCCACAGATATTCCCCCATTGCCCTGCATGAGTTGTCATTAGGAAAAGTGGCAAGCATATTTACGTACAAATCTTTGAAATCCAAAGGTAATAAATATTCACAAATGTCACAATATCATTTTACCTAAGCGGTATAAATCTGACTTCACTGCATTGGCTCCAGATAAGTGTAAATGTTTTTGCTGTCTGAAAGTACTGTACATGCATTTATTTAACAAGCCAGTACTTGCTATGCACTGCTTTTACATACTGGTAATTACTGATGGTAGGATACTTTATAGATAAGTTTTAGAAACAGCCTCACCCCAATATTGAAAACAGAGCTGACTGGTTTATGATCACTTGTTTTTAAGCTCATAACACTTTGATAATCCAGCTGCTTTATGTGTTTGCCTTTCCAGAGTATGCGATCACACCAGGCAGGAGCACGGCACTTTTCACTACAGAGACAGAAAAGGAGTGAAGATAATGATATTATTAGAGTAGGAACAATTATGGTAAGGGCCCATTCACACTACTGCTTTGCAATAGGGTACGCTAAATGCAGCTGTGCAATGCGGCACCATTCCTTCTGAAAGGCACCCCAACGCCGAAATGCTGACGGAGATCTGTTGCAGTACTGACGTTCATTAGAGTGTGCTGCCAGAAATGATACATGCACTATTTATGGTGAGCTTTAGTGTATTAGGCAGCCCATTCAAGTGAACTGGCTGCCTTAACGAAACATACCTTAGCTGGTGCACACAAAGGTGTGGCAGGGCCTTAAGGGCCCATTTATGCTTCTGCTTCTTAGGTGCAAAAGTTTAAAACACCTAAATATTGCACCTGGAATCTGCACCATTGTTAACATGTATACAGGTCTTCTCTGTTTCTTGTGTAGTGGGCCTTTTAAAAAAATCCTGCTTGCTGATGCTTTCCATAATGCTTTTTTTTCTTACAGGAATGAATAGTTCCGTGTGCAAAATTCATATGTAAATATACTATATGCGTGTTTTAATGCCCACAGCTGCACAGATGACTGTACAACACATATAGAAGCACTTGTTTAAATGCATTAAAATACACCTCAATGCATTATACAATTCATGCATTTTAAGAATTAACGGGTAAACAAGATCTAACACAACATCCAACCATAAGTAGTTCTGTGAATAGTAATTATGAGAACAACCTCAATATGTAACTAGTGATGTAATTGCTGTAAATGCAATTCTGTCAGAGTCTAATGTTACAATGGCGGGGTTATACAGTATGTATGGAAAACAGCTCTAAACTTGTAGTAAAAGATAAATGAGATTGCAAAAAGGGAAGGGCCATTATATTTAAGCGAAAAATATTTAATCTATTGTTTTCATTTCCTCTGTCGTTACAGGGACGGGTGATGTTTTGCAATCATTTTTAGCACAGCAGCTTGCTATAACTGCTACTTAGAATCTGAATTGGTTGATTTGTTAATGAATGGTACAAGTTTCTGATTTGATTTATCAATAAGCACGGCGATGTTTACCAGAGTGGTAGACTATAAACATGGCCAACTATTTATAAAGTACAATTCTTAAAGTTTATGTGAAGCCAAAACAGTTTTCTTAGGTTTGGACAGAGTGGTGTAGGATTAGAACCTCTGTCAGCTTTTTACGGCTATCCAGAGAGCTGTTAGAGAGATGTCCTCTCACTTCCTGTCCCGCTGACAAATGTTTTACCAGACAGGAAGAAAGGGAAAATCTCTCCAATCTCTCATCCTACATATGAAGGGGGGAGGGGGGGGGGGGACTCATTCTCCAAAAACACAGCAAAGCATTCTCAGTTTGATCGTTTTTTGGGGTATGTAAAACTTGTAAAGTTGGTTTTCCAATTCTTGGATTAGAAATAATATGTACAAAAAGTGTAACTATTGACAATTGTTGTAGAGCGGTATCCCTTGCCTGAGGAAGAATCTGCATTAAAGTATTCGAAATGCGTTGGTTATAGGCTGAATGCACTTGTAGTTCCCTCAAATGAGGTTGCAAGATGAATATCAGCTTCAAGAGATATCACTAATTTTTTCTATGCAATAATTACTAATATTGTCAAGCAAGTATGCTTTCGAGAATTGTTATACTTTATGGCGCAAATGTGTACTGATGTGTCAAATAAAATGTCAAATTTTCTTTTAAAAAAATTGTCTGATTTATATATTTTAAGGTTGCCTTAAAAATCCCACCAAAGGTAAAGTATAAATCTCTTTGTTAGAAAAATAGGGATGATGGCAACCACACCCTAGGTTATACCAGATGACTCTCTTATCAAATCTATAGCTTACTTGCCAGAGTTCGATTGGACAGGGTACAAAACTCATTTGAATATTGATATTAATAACGAAGGGGCCCTATAGGGAGGAGCCAATAATTAAACTTGAGCAACGTACTGGCAGAAAATGAAAAAAAACTATACTGTATAGATGAGTACAAGGAAAAAAATAAAATTACCGTCTGAAGGATTTACCTTGTATCCCACTCATCAGAACCAGTATCATATTTGTATGTTGGCTGAAAGTTTATCTCTCCTTCCGTGAAACCATCAAACACTGCATTTTCTTCCCTTTGCTGATTCAGCTGAGATAACAGACCAATCGTTAGTTCAAATGAGTGCGAAACTGATTAGAGTTACAAGGCATTCAAGCAAAACTTGATATAATATACAAGACATTAGATAATGCTGACACTTACTAACAGAATTATTTCATTACAAATCACTTGATGCCAACCTATCAGATTTAATAAACTTCTATAGGTTCTGCCTACAATAGGCTCCACAATGTGTCTGTGACTTTCTTTTCAAGCCAGAAAAGCCTCCTGATCTCCATTTGCTTTGCTACTAAGAGCTTGATTTCCTTAACTTCCTAAACCCTGTACCCCAGAGCTGAACCACACTCACTACCTACCTGTCAAATAAAAATGCACTTAAAGGGCCCTCGTACTGCCAGGACACTCACCATATCTTGCCACAAATCCTGTTCATGGAACAAGGACCCAATCTTCACTCATCACGGTGGGCTATGTCACACCACACAACCAGGTACTCGATCCCCCCTTTTTGTGGTCCACTGTCTTGAATCTGTACAGTACCCTACTGGAAACACCTTGGTCAGTAAAAAAACTGCACAGTGTTCCATATCCACAGGGTCCAACAATCCCACCATAATGGGGCTTGAGTACCATCCATCTTAACATCCCAGCTGTAGGAATGGATGTAGATATCAGGGCATACACGGACTGAAAATCAGCCAGTTCCACTTTTGGTCAGTGCGTACCACTGACTGTTCAACAGAAGCCAATCTACTGATGATGTAATGCCAATGGCTGCAATCAGAGATCTGTGTATTCTGGCGGGGGGGGGTCTCCCTGTCAGGATACAAAAACACAGCAAGGAAGAACCCTGCATTAAGCAGGTATCTGTCAGTTGTACAAGTATACCCTGCTTAAGATAGGAGGGAGACACAGAAAAAGCTTTTCTCTCTACCATATGTATTAACAGGGACCTTTTGCTGGCTGACCAAAAAATAGCTGACCAGATTCACATTTGGTTACATCACCTACTGAAATTTCAAAAACATACTTGCTTTGCTTGTTTTTGACCTGTCACATCTTCTTTTTTGCATTAAGAACTAAAGTAATAAAGAATCACCTCATACCTGATCAAACTCATAGATGGATTTATAGTCCTTAATTTCAATAAGTTTCTTTACTTTCTCCACATCTATGTCCTTTAACCGGTAGTTTAGATCTCCAAGCCATAACACAACACTATAAAATGTAAAACAAAAAGTTGCTACATTATTAACATATTATACACCCAAAGGTCATTTAATACGGACACTGACTAGCATATAGTGCTCATCATCAGCAGAAATAAGTGAAATCCTCCACAGAGCTAAAAGCCTAAATTTAGTCAAAATTAAAAAAAAAAAAATAAAACACAAGGGACATTACTGACAAGCATTGTGATGTTCCCTGGTGCTGGCACCTGCTTTCAATAAAATCTTTTATTCTCTGATACCCTCCTGCCCCACATACATAATCCTCTGGTGAAAAAGAGGTTAAACAGTGCTGACAATGCCTGCCCCCCTCCTCTATTCATATTCCTCCTCCTTTGTACTATAGTTTCTATGGATGAATGCAATCTATGAATGAAGGAGGCAGACCTTTAATTCATCCATCCACTACCATTCAAACAGCTTATCAGATGCATCCAACCTCCATCTCAGTTTATCAGAATGCTTCCAATCCCCATAGTGGGAACAACTAGAGTTTGAATTGACCCATGACTGGAAACAGCACTGGTCGAAGCAACAGGCTGAACCTTTAGTTTCACAGTGGTGCACATCATCAATTACTCAAGAAAAAGCCTTTCTTTAATTTAGGAGCAATAGCAGGGAACTGCAGCTCCTCAGGGGTGAGCTCATCAGTTAAACCCATCCCTGCCAGAAGAAAACAGTGATTACTGCTAGAGGCAACAGCAATAATCTTATCCTAAAATCCAACATTTTGGTTATACCCGATGGACTGACTTGGGTACAATCAGCTTGCCCATACAAGGATCAAATCTCTGCTGATTTCTGCTGAACAGGATGCGATTCAAGTCATCTAAGGCCGGCTTTAGTTTAATGTCCTTCCTTTCTTTAAAACATATTTACAGCAAAAGCAATGAAATATCCGAACAGAAACACATACTCATGTTTGTGAATGGTCAGAGGAGGAAGTGATCGATCCACCTCTGGAAATTGCATTCTGGAACAGATGTCTCTGAAGTCCTGATTCCTCCTTTCATACTCATCAACATGGGCAGCCAAGTGAGAATTTATAACACAAATGTGAGTGTTATGAAATCTGAACCGAACAGCTACACCTCCCTTGTTACCCTGCAAAACAAATGTGCTATAAATGACCCAAAAAAAGACAAACAGCATTGAGATATGTCACATAGTCAGAGTGGAAAAGCAAGCCTTCTACACAAATGAATGAAGTCCATGTTTTTAAAAATTCTCTGTTTTCTGTGCAACCGCAGTTGAAGAAGAAGTGGATTGTTGGTCCTACAGCGGTTTACATTGGCATGAAGGGTTATGTCTGTCCATGTTGATGTAAGAACGTTTACAAGTTCCCAATTACATGGGTCTGAATACGCTCCTATGGTCGACATCATGTGGAGTTGAAGCTGGTCAAATTATATAATCTCACAGCTTGCCAGCAGTGACTGGAGATAAAGATAGAAGGGGTCTTTTTATTTTACTCTTGGAGGGGTCAAAACTAAATGTCTACTGTAAAGAAAAAATAGACACTCCTTTAAATAAACAATACAAATCATTTTTTGTTTTTTTTACATAAAATAAAGCGCCTTCATATAAATAACAAACCTGTTAATGTTTTAACACCTTGTTTCTGTTTTGTACATGTAGCACATATGTATACTCTGTTTCTTGCTCTGCAGTGCTAAACAATGGTTGTGCTTTAAGGCTTCAACAGAAACTGTCTGCCATTCGGCCAGTGTATACAGCAGCCTGTCCAACAAAAGCCAGTCTAACAACTGGCTTCTGTAGAGAGAGCATACAGGAAAACCAGTATCAGATGGCTGCAAGTGCTAATCAGCGTGTTCTGGCGGGACAGTCCCCCTGTCATAACACAATAGCTCAGCAGGGAGATCAGAGCATTAACATTGCTTGTGTAAGTACGGCAATCTGTACATTTTTTTTTGTTCAGTGTGCTGGGCTGAAAAAAAAAAAAACTTATATTGTGTACCCTGCATTAGTGCCACTTCTTGTAAGACAATGTATAGGAGTCAGATGATCCATTAATAACTATGCCATTCCTATGTGACTGATAAGTAGTTGTTAATCAATGAAACAATGTGGCTGTAGTAGCTAATCTAATTTTCCTCAATAGCTTTTCTACAAATCCCTATATTAAAGACATTAACATAATCTATGAAACAAAAAGCATCTAAAATGTTGTATCATCAATACTGCAATAATAATTCAAAGTTATGTGCTCACTGAAAGTACACCAACATTTCCTTTTAAAATGTGTTTGTGTGATCACTAACTAAAATTTCTCATTTCGTGATTAGTTGATGGCCCGTAAGACCCAATGAGACGGTTCTGCTTTTCAATTTTTAAAGGGGTGTGATACTACCAAGACTGGCTTTCTTCCTGCTGACTTTCATACTTTTTACTATGTTCTCAGTATTATGCTCCTGTTCTGTTGTAACATGTGCATTACCTTCATGTGCTGGATTATGCTGCTCCTTTCCTTGTTATTACCATTGCAACCTGACTGCTCCTCATATACGTAGAATGTCAATTAAAAAAAACTACTGGTTTCAAGAACAGAACTTACTACTTTAATCACATTTTCACAATTGTTTATCATATCAGTTTATATGTATAGGTAGAAAATTCCCCAATTTATGCCTCACTAATGCTGGGTAAGCACTAGTAGAATTTTATTCTACAGTTTTCTTTGTAAGTACATTTGTTTTTCTAATCATTAGTAAGAATAAATCAATGTTCATTCTCGACTGCAGTAACAAGATAATTCAAAGAAGCAAAATGGAAAGCTTTCCTAAAATTTACAAAAAAAACAGTGTGTGTGGTTTTCATTTGGTAAACTCCATTCATTCCAAAATCAAATGTTAAAAGCAAACTGTGAGCAGCTAAGATACCACGTGATTGCTGTGTGATCACGTCACCTGGTAAACAAGAGTAACAAATAGAATTCAGTCATGACACTATGAATACTGTATATGATCTCTGATTGGTCTCCCTTGATCACATGGTACCTGGGTTAATCACAGCACCCTGTACACCCTGTACGACGTGATAGCTGTGGGTCAATTATAGCATCATATTGTAAACAATGAGTCAAGAATGAAAGCCATTCATGACAGTTCAAACGATTGCTGTTACAGTGATCATTACTGTAACAAGCAATCAAGTGTAACAAAAAAAAAAAAATCCCTGCCCCCGATTCCCCACAGTAGTATAGTGACACTATGGTCATTAACATAATTTAAAACTCAATTTAGTGCCTAGCGTTAAAGTGCATTTAGATGCAATAACATTTGTCAATTGTTTTATCTGCCAAAACGCTGCAGCTCCTGGATGCGCTGGCCGTGGGATTTTTTTTTCTGCCTCTAAACTCCTATAGACGCCTGTGTGTGCATGGGTTTACTAAAGGCAAATTGTCTGTGTACTACAAGTGTACTTCAAGTGCACTCTAGATCTGAGGAAGCTCTGAAATAAAGGGAAGCTCTGCTGATTTCTATCATCCAATCATGTGCAAATAAACATGCTGTTTTTTTTTTTTTTCCTTGCATGTGATTGGGTATTCTTTGCAAAATGAAGCTTTACCTCATTTACTAAGCTCTGGAGTAATTTCAATGCACAGTATATTTGCCTGTAGTAAATCAACCTCATAGGCTAACATACAGGGGTGTTTAGAGGCAGAATGAAAAAGCCAGAGGCCCCTAAAATCAGTGTAAAAAGAAAATGTCCAGTGTGCATGGGGCCAAAACATTAACCTATTTTTAGATCATATACCGTAAGTCTTACACTTTTAGGCAAGAAAGAAACATTTGTATTTTTTATAACCAGAAATACAAAGAAAAGCGGCTCTTGAGCTAACCAATGATGATTATTTGCTATGTAAAAGAAAAGTGCTAATTTGATTAAGAAAGCCAGCAATTTCATACGCAGTAGAAAATGTTATTATAGGGCAGCACAGTGGCTAAATGGCTAGCACTTCTGCCTGGCAGTACTAGGGTCGTTGGTTCGAATCCCAACCACGGCACCACCTGCCTGGAGTTTGTATGTTCTCCTTGTGCCTACGTGGTTTTCCTCCGGGTACTCCAGTTTCCTCCCACACTCCAAAGACAAGCTGGTAGGTTAATTGGATCCTGTTTAAATTGGCCCTAGTATGTATGTGTATGTATGATTGTAAGTTAGGGACCTTAGGTTGTACGCCCCTTAAGGGTTAGGAACTGATGTGAATGTACAATATATATGTAAAGCGCTGCATAAATTGACGGCTCTACTGTATATAAGTACCTGTAATAAACAAACAAATACAGATGTAGTCAAAAATGATTGCTTTAAAAATGAAGGTTCAAACATATCAGCTAAAACATTTAGTGGAATGAATAAAAGCAACCTTGCAGGCTGGCTTGCATTCAGTAAAACGGTCATTCAGCAATACAAAACTCTGGGGCATTTTATGCACTCTACTTACCATCCTACCCATGATTCCTGTGCCTACAGTTTCTGCCTCTACCTCTGAGATGTGAACAGCTAACTCCTTCTTAATGTACAGCAGCAGCATAATTCCCACAAGCCTTATCAGCTTGATCTGAAAAAGAATATGCAAAGTGTTTTTGCACTTTAGTAAATGATACTGCAACTAACTGTTACAAGTAGAGATAAAACTTTTCTACTAATTTACTTACATTCACTTCAGCTTCCTTCGCTCCTATTTTCCCCATTGACTGAATTACCAAATTTTTCTACTGGCTGACCTCAGCCAATAGAAAAAATAATAGTTAATCCAGTCAGGAAAAAAAAAAAGGAAAAACAGTGTAAAACCTGATTTTCGGTGAGTTTTCACAGCTGCCATCCAAAGATGAGCAGGGAGCAGAGAGAGCAATAAAGAGCTACAACAAATTCTATGTAAAATTAATGTTGAGGGTCCATTCACACCAAGGCCAAAATCCATTGTTTCCAACAGGCCCAGTTCATACTAATACTTTGGTATGCACTAGGCAAAGTTGCAAGTATTAAATAGACTCAGATTCTAGCAAGAATAATGGCATGGTGTACTTTAAAGGCTAAGTCCAACCTCTGAAAAATAAATAAATGCACCCATATTTCAATTTTAAAAAGTGTATTATTATTTATGGATAGGAGCCTGGAAAGGCTCTGGCTCTTGCAGCTGCTGGTTGGTACTGAGGTACAGCCTTCAGTTGCACGACTGTAGGAAGTATCAATGGACTAAAAAGTACAGTGACGTTACTGCACTTGTGCTCTATTGTGGACTATGAGTTCCTCTATCACAGTACAAGTAGTTTTTTCATTCACAGATTCCTGTGAATTAATTATTCAGTTTTGTGGGCCCCACACAGCCACACCAATTTCAAATGTGACAGGAGCTGACGAAGAGAAGCCCCCCAGGCTTCTATAAGAAGTGGTGGTGGTCTGGGGGTGGAGGCTGCAGTTTCTGACCATGAAACATGCTTAGAAAGGTGCAATTCTGTATAAAGATTTTGAAGTGTATAACATCCACACCTTTGCATATTTGGCTCCTGGGTGTAATGCTTCAGATACTGCTTTGAACCATTCTTCTTCCTTGGGAGTGTCATTGAAAAAAAATGCTTCCTTGCTTAAGTCAAGTTCTTGAAACCTGTGAAAAAAAGAAGAATAAATTATGGTTTCATAAGCAGAAGCCTCAAAAGCAGGACTTTATCCCTATTCAGGCTTCCTGGCCTGCTCAGAGTAGGACAGCACTGTGATTCTCCATGTCCCCGGAACCAATGTATACTACTCATATGTGAGCAATAACTGGTTTAGTGGGCTACCCATCTCCTTTATGGGCTTCCTGTTTTGTGCAGCACCCACACCCCCAGTAACTTTCACCCTACATAATGCATCACTCTATTTATTATTGTTCCTTTTTTCACCTCTCCCCTTATTCTCTTTTTTAGCTGTGTTACTTTTCTCCACATTTTTTATATTTTTTTCCGTTATCCTTGTTCAACCTTTTTGCTCTGTAATGAATTGCTGTATTTGACATTTCTTTCTTTGTTATTTTTACATTACTACCTTGTGGATTTTTAAAGACTTGCTTGTAAATCCCATATTTTGGAGCACAGTACAGGACACAGGCTGACTATTTATAGTCTATGGGTTATTTTATGGTTTCTTCAGGTGACTGGACATTGGCAAGCTTTTCCGGTGTCCTGTACTGTACTCCAAAATGTGGTATTTAAGGCCAAGTCAAAAATACTTTTATCTTAATTGTACAGTTCAAGTCATAAGCTGATTATTCATGAACCCTTAGACATCCCCAAGCAATGAATGTGAAAGGTGGGCAACAACTAGGCAAACAGAAACTGTGCCAACAGACCCAACTACAACAAGGGTCAACAGACCCAACTTCAGAGTGCCACTGCAAGAACCTTGCATACAAAATCTGCATCAGCAGAAGGACAGGACGTCCACCTACTAGAATTTTGAAAAGGAATGTACACAGGACCAAGCAGCAACCTTACAAAGGTGGGCCACAGAGGCTTGATATTTTAGGAAACCCCACCAACCTGGAGTGAGTGTGTAAAAGCGAGGAATTTGTCCTTTAAAGTGTAAGCTTTGGCGATGAGCTGTCTTATCCAACTAGCAATGATGAACTTGTAAACAAGATGTCCTTTGTGAGGTTCCAAGTATAGTACAAATAGGGAGTCTGACTGTCTGATGGAAGCTGTTGCTTTGCAGTAGACTCTGATGGCTGTGACTTCAACCAGGCAATGAAGAGTAATTTCTTTTGGGTACTTTAGAGCAGGGCACAAAGGACTACAGTGGGGATCAAAAGTTTGGGCACCCCAGCTAAAAATTTGTATTAATGTGCATAAAGAAGCCAGGAAAGTTGGAAAAATCTCCAAAAGGCATCAAATTACAGATTAGACATACTTATAATATGTCAACAAAAGTTAGATTTTATTTCCATCATTTACACTTTCAAAATAACAGAAAACAAAAAAATGGCGTCTGCAAAAGTTTGGGCACCTTGCAGAGTTAATATCTTGTACTGTCTCCTTTGGCAAGTATCACAGCTTCTAAACACTTTTTGTAGCCAGCCAAGAGTCTTTCAATTCTTGTTTGAGGTATCTTTGCCCATTCTTCCTTACAAAAGTCTTCCAGTTCTTTGAGATTTCTGGGCTGTCTGTCACGCACTGCTCTTTTAAGGTCTATCCATAGATTTTCAATTATGTTGAGGTCAGGAGTTTATGAAGGCCAAGGCAAAACCTTCAGTTTACGCCTCTTGATGTAATCCCCCATGGATTTCGAGGTGTGTTTAGGATCATTATCCATTTGTAGAAGCCATCCTCTCTTTAACTTCAGCTTTTTCACAGATGGCATCAAGTTACCATCCAAAATTTGCTGAAATTTTATTGAATGCATTTTTCCTTCTACTCGTGAGATGTTCCCTGTGCCACTGGCTGCAACACAACCCCAAAGCATGATTGATCCAACCCCATGCTTAACAGTTGGACAGAGGTTCTTTTCATTAAATTCTGTGCCCCTTCTTCTCCAAACGTACCTTTGCTCATTCCGGCCAAAAAGTTCAATTTTAACCTCATCGGTCCACAGAACTTGTTTCCAAAATGCATCAGGATTGTCTATATGTTCATTTGCAAAGTTCAAACGATGATTTTTGTGGTGAGGACGTAGAAGAGGTTTTCTTCTGATGGCTCTTCCATGAAGACCATATTTGTACAAGTATCTCTTTATAGTGGAATAGTGTACCACAACTCCAGTGTCTGCCAGATCTTTCTGGAGGGATCGTGCAGTCAAACGTGGGTTTTGAATTGTTTTTCTCACAATCCTGCGAGCTGTTCTGTCTGATATTTTTCTTGGTCTTCCAGATCTTGCTTTAACTTCCACTGTTCCTGATGACTGCCATTTCTTAATTACATTCCGAACAGAGGATATTGACATCTGAAAACGCTTTGCTATCTTCTTATAGCTTTCTCCAGCTTTGTGAGCGTCAACTATTTTCAGTTTCAGTTTTCTAGACAACTGCTTAGAAGAACCCATGGTGCTGATTGTTGGGGCAAGGTCAGATGAGTCTGGGCATTTAAAACCTTTGAGCTTGACATCACCTGGTCTTCCCAGACGATGATTGAGAACAATCCATGACACTGGCAGGTCTCAGCTTTGCAAAGGGGGCAGTGCATGCTATAAATTCTGCAGGGTGCCCAAACTTTTGCAGACGCCATTTTTTTGTTTTCTGTTATTTTGAAAGTGTAAATGATGGAAATAAAATCTAACTTTTGTTGACATATTATAAGAATGTCTAATCTGTAATTTGATGCCTTTTGGAGATTTTTCCATCTTTCCTTGGCTTCTTTATGCACATTAATACAAATTTTTAGCTGGGGTGCCCAAACTTTCGATCCCCACTGTATGTATTCCTTGAGGTGGAAGGCTGATGTCACCTTAGGAAGAAATGATGTTCTAGAGTGTAAGACTACCATGTCCTTGTGAAGAATGAGAAATGGCTCCTTACAAGAGAGAACCGCTAACTCAGAGACACATCTGACAACAACCAAGAAGGTTACTTTGCATGAGGGATCATCTAGAGCAGGGCTCCTCAAACTACGGCCCGCCGAGGACATTTATCCGGTCCGCTGGCAGGGGCGTATTTGCCGCGAGGAAGGGACACTAAGTACAGGGGCGGGCAGGGGGCTGCTGTATCTTACCTGGCTCCGTGTCCCAGTCCCACGACGATCCAGTCCAGGAAGCGCTGCTAAGTTCATTCACTCCGGCCACTCCCTCACTCGATGTTCACGCTGCCGCTCGGCTCCGCCTCCTCATCGGTGATTGGACACCAGAACTGTAGCTCAGGAAAGGCACACATGCGACCAATCACCTGCGAGGAGGCGGAGCCGAGCGGCCCCACGAACATCGAGTGAGGGAGAGGCCGGAGTGAAGAACGACAGCTGACAGGTAAGTGCCGTGCAGATGGTGCTGCTGCAACCAGGTATGCTGGCTGCAGCAGCACCATGCTGGAGCAGGGGTCAGCAAGTTAAGGGTCATTGGTGTCAGTGGGAGGAATAGTGCCCCATCATTGGTGTCACTGATACTAATGATGGGGCATTATTCCTCCCACTGACACCAATGATGAGGCACTATTCCTCACCCCACTGACACCAATGATGGGGCACTATTCCTCCCCCCACTGACACCAACAATGGGGCACTATTCCTCCCCCCCACTGACACTAATGATGGGGCACTATTCCTCCCACTGACACCAATGATGGGGCACTATTCCTCCCACTGACACCAATGATGGGGCACGATTGTTCCCCCACTGACACCAATGATGGGGCACGATTGTTCCCACACTGACACCAATGATGGGGCACGATTGTTCCCCACTGACACCAATGATGGGGCACGTTTCTTCCCACTGACACCAGTGATGGGGCACTATTCCTCTCACTGACACCAATGATGGGGCACTATTTCGCTCCATAAGACACACTTGGGGGGAAATGTCTGTGCGTCTTATGGAGTGGCCGGCCCAGTATTCCTGCCGCCGTTGTATGCCCGCAGTCTCTGGTCATCTCCTGTACTGTGTCCGCAGTCTCTGGTCATCTCCTGTACTGTGTCCGCAGTCTCTGGTCATCTCTTGTACTGTGTCCGCATTTGTTCATAGTTTGTTTTTTTTAAACTATAGTCCGGCCCTCCAACGGTCTGAGGGACAGTGAACTGGCCCCCTGTTTAAAAAGTTTGAGGACCCCTGATCTAGAGGAATTTCCCTGATGGGCTCAAATGGTGATTTCTGCGGCAGAGACCAGTAGATTGAGGTTTCAAAACTCTACATAGGGCCAGATTCGAGATACACTTTAAATAAAGGTTTTGACAAGGAAGAGTGAGGCCAGAGGTTTTTGGAAAAGAATGGACAAGGACAAAAACATGTTCTTTCAGGGTGCCTAATTTCAAGTTCTGGTCATGTCCTGTTTGTAGGAAGGCCACAATATGAGGCAGAAGGTAATCTCTGAGACTGAAGAGCCTGTGTTTATAGCAGAAGGATTTCCAGGTTTGAAGGTAGGTTCTTCTGTAAGTGGCATTTCTTGCTTTTAGCAAAGTAGGAATGACATACTCACAGACCCCTCTGTCCCTTAAGACCTGCAACAGCCATGCCATTAAAACCAGTGACTGAGAAGCAGGATGGAATAGGGTGCCATGAGACAGCAGGTCTGGCCAGGGGCCATCTCCTAATAGTTTGAGTATGTCTGTGTACCAGGTTCTCCAGTGCCAGTTTGATTTTTTTTTTCTTGCTCTAGTTTGTACAGCAGGTGAGGCAAACTGTGTGCTGGAAGAAAGGCATAGATCAGTAAAAACTGAGACCAGGGAATTATCAAAGTGCTGGAGGATCCCTGGTTCTGACCACAAAATCTACATCTGGGGTCTCCCATCTCTGACATACCAAGTTGAAGATGTCGGGATGATGAACGGCACCCAGAAAAAGCCAGGGAGAAGATACCAACACTGATGCTAGACCTCGTGGGCATCAGACCACTGGAGTTGAGGTAAGTATCAAAGATTTTAGTTTTAGCTTCAAGACTGAGATGGCAGGATCTACTGATGGAAAAGACAACTATTTTTGTGAACTCTTTATCTATTGCTGAGATCAGCAATGATTTTTGGAGGGGTGAAAATCTTTTCTGCATTGACCCAATTGTTTTAAATTACCCATTTTATTTGTACATGTGTTTTTAATCTAGTTTACATTATATAGGCTACAGCAGGAGGTGTGGGAACAACTAGGACACATTACTATGTAGCAGGAGTACAATGTGAAAGTGAGTGGGAGCAGAGCTATTGTTCCCTAATAGATATACAACCACAATTCCAAAAAAGTTGGTACGCTGTGTAAAATCTTATAAACCCATATTTTATTCACAATAGAAAGTAGAGAACATATCAAATGTTTAAACTGAGAAAATGTACCATTAAAAAAAAAGAACATTTTTAACCACTTCCCACCTGGCCACTACACATAAATGGGCAGGTTGGAGCTTCACTGTTCTGAGTGGACGTTCAGGAACGTCCGTCAGAACATGTGGCCGCACAGCTGCGCGCTCTCAGACTGCCTGTGTCCCTTGGACACAACGCAACACCACTCGGCAGAAAGGCCCCCTGATTGGCCCTTTGGATCACATGATGGCTGTGTTCACTCACAGCCATCATGTAATGTCAACAAAGCTGCTATTCAGGTGAACGGCTCTGCCTCTCCTCACACAGAGCCCATGAGTGAGGAGAAGCAGAGCCGATCTGCAATTTACACAAAAGCACATCGCCCACACATCACTCTGTCACAGTGCCAGTGATCCACATCTGTCACAGTGCCAGTGGTCCACATCTGTGATCCACATCTGTCACATTGCCAGTGATCCACATCTGTCACAGTGCCAGTGGTCCGCATCTGTGATCCACATCTGTCACAGTGCCCGCGATCCACATCTGTCACAGTGCCCGCGATCCACATCTGTCACAGTGCCCGCGATCCACATCTGTCACAGTGCCCGCGATCCACATCTGTCACAGTGCCCGCGATCCACATCTGTCACAGTACCCGTGATCCACATCTGTCACCGTGTGCACATCTGTCACCGTCACCGTACCCGTGATCCACATCTGTCACAGTACCCGTGATCCACATCTGTCCCAGTACCCGTGATCCACATCCGTCACAGTGTACCAGTGGTCATCCACATCTGTACCGTGATCCACATCTGTACCAGTGATCCACATCTGTCACGGTGTACCAGTGTAAAATTCACATCTGTACCAGTGATCCACATCTGTCACTGTACCAGTGCTCATCCACTTCTGTACCAGTGATCAACATCTGTCACGGCCTTCCAGGGTCAAATCCACATCTGTCACAGTGTACCAGTGTCAGATCAACATCTGTACCAGTGAACATCAAAATGTCAAAAAATTATAAACCAGCAAAGAGGCTTTCCAGATACTGAGTTTGAACGACGAGAGTAGCAGGAAACTCTCTTTGTTAGACTCAGATTCTGAGTATGAGCCAATTGAAAGCAGTGGGTCAGCAATGGATTCTGAGGAGGAGAGAGTTCAAACAAAGAGGTTCAGGAGATCTGAGGAGGAGCAGGCACCCACCAGTAGCAGTGGCGAGTACAAGCAGCGCAGCACTCCCAGAAGATAGGCAGGCATCCAAGGGTCATTCCATTATCTTGGTGCTCCAGGGCCTTCAAAATTGTGATAGGTAGTCAGGAAATTAGATGTGTAATTTATGCCTCCAGAACGCCTGTAGGTCTTACTTGGATGTTGGGCCTCTGTATGTGGCCAGGCTGTGGAAAAGTCTTACACGTGGTATCCCCATACTCAGACAAGTAGCAGAATGTATTTTGGGGTGCAATTTTGGGTATGTACATGCTATGTGTTAGAAATATCTTATGAATGGACAACTTTGTGTAAAAAAAAAAAAAAAGATTTTCATTTTCTTTCCAGATTTTCTGAAAACTTGTGGAAAAGACTCATTATGCCTCGTAGAATATACATTGGGGTGTTTGCTTTCCAAAATGTAGTCATTTTGTGGATAATTCCATTGTCCTGGTGCTCCATGGCCTTCACAAATGTGATAGGTAGTCAGGAAATGAGATGTGTAATTTATGCCTCCAGAACACCTGTAGGTCCTACTTGGATGCTGGGCCTCTGTATGTGGCCAGGCTGTGGAAAAGTCTTACACATGTGGTATCCCCATACTCAGGAGGAGCAGCAGAATGTGTTTTGGGGTGAAGATGCAAATATGCATATGCTGTTTGAGAGGAATAACCTGTTAATATAACAGTTGTATCAACAAAATAAAACACATTTTATTTACTTCATTTTCCAAAGAATCGTGGGGAAAAAAATTACAGGTTCAAAAAACTCACCATGCATCTTCGTAAATACCTTGGAATGTCTACTTTCCAAAAAGGGGTCATTTGGGAGGTATTGTACTGTCCTGGCTTGTTAGTGTCTCAAGAAATGAGATAGGCCATCAGTACATCAGGCTTGATCAATTTTCAATGATTGGTACCATAGCTTGTAGACTCTAAACTTTTCCACACACCAAATAATATACACCGTCATACACCGTCATTTTCAATGATTGGTACCATAGCTTGTAGACTCTATAACTTCCACACACCAAATAATATACACCGTCATACACCGTCATTTTCAATGATTGGTACCATAGCTTGTAGACTCTATAACTTCCACACACCAAATAATATACACCGATTGGGATTTTTTTTACCAAAGCAGTGTAGCAGTATAAATTTTTGGCCCAAATTTATAAAGAAAAATTACTTATTTGCAAAATGTTATAACAGAAACAGAGAAAAATGCGTTATTTTCACATTTTTCGGTCTTTTTTTTTAATTTACAGCGCAAAAAACAAAAAACACAGTGCTAATTAAATTCCACAAAAAGAAATCTCTATTTGTATGAAAAAAAGGACACAAATTTAATTGGATACAGTGTTGCATGACTGAGTAATTATCATTCAAAGTGTGAGAGTGCTGAAAGCTGAAAATTGGTCTGGGCAGGAAGGGGGTAAAAGTGCCCGGTATTGAGGTGGTTAAATTGATAGCCATAAAACGTCTCAGTAACAGTCCAGTAAGAGCTATACGCTAAGACTGGTTGGGTTTTTTGTTGCACAAACTAGTGTCTGCCATTGATTTTACAGTACTGATGTAGCATACACTGTACAACTGAGATTTAGTCAACAGCTACCTCACTAAAATTGCAATTGATAATACATACCCAATACAGTATACATCAGGTGGTTCAACATCTGTACTTAGCCATGGTTGCAAATTTTCTTTTGGTGACTGTCCATTCACATTGTATGTGCCTGCAAAAAACCTAGAAAAAAGACAATACAGCCATGGAATATTTAGTAAGGTAGAGAATCTAACAAATTATCAACAAAACTGCACAATCCACTGAAGAACAGATATTAGTCATCATGTAAGCTCACTGAGATTTAAGCCATAGTATACAAATTAGGTGCTACATGGTAACAATTACTGACAACTTTACAGAAGTAGTGAAGTCCCTTGTAATGTTCAGTCAATATGCATCCTTAAAGCGGAGCTCCACCCAAAAGAGGAAGTTCTGCTTTAAGGACTGCTCCCCCTGTCCCCAATAAGGATTGGTACCTTTGGGGGGCGGGGGGGGGGGAGCAGGTACCCGAATTTGACAGGTACCGGCTCTCAAATGCGGTCGGACCGCCTAGGCGATCGGAAACGGAAGGTGTCCTCCCCCTCCTTCCCTTCCCGTAGTCTTCTGGGACACGTGACAGGTCCCAGAAGACTACAGGACCATTCATAAAGTGCAGCGCTACTAACACATGCGCAGTGGGTACCCAGCTGTGAAGCTGCAAGCTGTCACAGCCGGGTGCCCACACTGAAGATGCTGGTCTCCAGGAACCCAGGACGGCAGGTGAAATGGCTGCGGGGGACACACCACGGGACCGAGGGACAGGTAAATGGCTGTTTTTTAAAAGTCAGCAGCTACAGTTTTTGTAGATGCTGACTTTTACTTTTTGACAGGATGAGTGGAACTCCGCTTTAACTATAACCATCCAGAAAATACAAAGTAATGTAAATGGACTAGTGTTTTTTTATTTTTAAAGGTCTTCACTATGTTAATTCTTTAGAAAAAAAGGGGAAAAAATACATAAAATACGTGAATAAATGTGTGAAAAAATATATATTCTGAAACAATAGTGAAACAATTAGTGAACTACTGCTACTCTTTCCCTGAACATCAGAAAACATATGCACTGTATCTGTGTAAGTGCACTACTTTAATAAATTCTTTTCTGGTTTATCGGGTCGCACTATGAAGTTTTCTTCTTGTGTTTTAAACCTTTCCTTGCATGATGTGCAGAGCTGTCTGATGTCATGGATTCGTTCAAGTGAACCTGCAGTTGTCCATTCATCTCCTTGATATTGCTAACTAGGGTGTCAGTGTGGGATCTGAACACCATCTGCTCGTTTGATCTCTTGATTGGAAATCAAAGTGTCTGGTAAGAGGCTGATTTTTTCTTTTGTGTCAAACATTTGTGGACACCTATGCATTTTCCGTTGGAGGATTTCTTTAGCACACAGCACTAGGTTATTGGATTTTGGGATTTTTAATTTAATTATTTAATATATGAATGTGGACTTATATAATTTCAATTAATTTATGCACATTTTTTATGTAGCAGTATTTATTTGATTTATTTGTTTATGATTTTTTACTGTACAGCGAACTCATTTTTATATATGTTAATTCTTTACCTTATTCTGGCTACAATTTATTTTCAAAACAGCACAATGGTAGTACTGGCACAGGTCTGGGGGAGAGATTCAGGAGAACACATTGGATATGCTCTGCCCACACTCAACAATAGCCTTTACATGCCAGGGGTTAAAGATACAATGAATGGTAGATGAGGTTTACCTGAGGCTCTAATGCTTTAATGCAAAGGGTTTCTGCACACAGTGGCTACATACAGTTGTGCTCAAAAGTTTGCATACCCTGGGAGAAATTGTGAAATTTTGGCATTGATATTGAAAATATGACTCATCATGCCAAAAAATGTTCTTTTATTGAAGGATAATGATCATATGATGCCATTTATTATCAAATGGTTGTTTGACTCCTTTTTAAATCATAATGATAACAGAAATCACCCAAATGGTAATGATCAAAAGTTTACATACCTGGAATGTTTGTCCTTGGTACAGACACACAAGGTGACACACACGGGTTAAAATGCCAATTAGAGGACATAAAAAGATGTCCAATGCCTTGAATATGCCAATCAGTACTGTTAAATCACCTATTAGGAAGTGGAAAGTTCAGGGATCTCTTGATACCAAGCCAAGGTCAGGTAACCAGAGAAAGATTGCAGCCACAACTGCCAGAAGAATTGTTCGGGATACAAAGGGAAACCTAAAGGTAACTACAAGAAAAATACAGGCTACTCTGGAAAAAGATGGTGTGGTTGTTTTCAAGGAGCACAATATGATGACACTTCAACAAAAATGAGCTGCATGGTCAAGGTGCCAGAAAGAAGCCTTTACTGCATCAATGACACAAGAAGGCCTGGTTAGGCAAGTCAAGTTGTTGTCAGGCATATTGTAACTGGGATTTTTTTTTGGCATTGGTGCAGTAAAAGGTTCTGACACCTCGACCAAACAGCTAATTTTTGTTCAAGTATCACTGTATTGTACTCCTTAAAAACAACCACATCATCTTTTTCCAGAGCAGCCTGTTTTTCTTTTGAGGTTACCTATGGGTTTTTCTTTGAATCCGGACAATTCTTCTGTCAGTTGTGGCTGCAATCTTTCTTGGTCTACCTGACCTTGGCTTGGTATCAAGAGATCCCCAAACTTTTCACTTCTTAATAGATGATTTAACAGTACTGATTGGCATATTCAAGGCTTTGGACATCTTTATATGTCCTTTTCCATCTTTATAAAGTTCCATTACCTTGTTACACAGGACTTTTGACAGTTCTTTTCTGATCCCCATGGTTCAGTATCTAGCCTAGTCAGTGCTGCCATGTAAGAGCTAACAAACTCATTGACTATTTATACACTGACACTAATTGCAATTTAAAAAGCCACAGATGTGGGACATTAACCTCTAATTGGCAATTTAACCCATGTGTGCTACCTTGTGTGTCTGTACCAAGGCCAAACATTCCAGGTTATGTAAACTTTTGATCATGGCCATTTGGGTGATTTCTGTTATCATTATGATTTAAAAAGGAGCCAAACAACTATTTGATAATAAATGGCTTCATATGATCATCATCCTTCAATAAAATAGAGCATTTTGTGGCATGATCAGTCATATTTTCAACATCAATGCCAAAATTTCACAATTTCTACCAGGTATGTAAACTTTTGAGCACAACTGTACAATTCCTGCTGCTGTGTTCAGGATCCCAGTAGGGCAAGCAGTGAGATATTTTTATTATATCACCTTTGAGATCTTTGATCTAAATACATTTCACTATATAACTGGGCATGGGATACAAACGCATTATAAATGTGACCATGTAAACTACATATACAGTATGTTAGTGTAAAACAATTTTAACAGTATTCATTAATAATATTCATGGCTAAATCAGTCTAGTAAACTTTCATAAACGGAACCCATATAAACATGATATGGTAGAGTGAGCTTCTCTGACACCACTGACTTCCTGTTCAGCAAACCAAAAGATAACTGTTACATTAACTGTAGGTTACCATTAGCCTGTGATAGTAAAGACAAAAAAAGCTGCAAAGTAAATTTATATAACACCAAATATACTTTTGATGCACTTTTAGATATATACAGTTGTGCTCAAAAGTGTACATACCCTGGCAGAAATTGTGACATTTTGGCATTGATATTGAAAATATGACTGATCATGCCAAAGAATTCTCTTTTATTGAAGGATGATGATCATATGAAGCCATTTATTATCAAATAGTTGTTTGGCTCCTTTTTTAAATCATAATGATAAACAGAAATCACCCAAATGGCCATGATCAAAAGTTTACATACCCTGGAATGTTTGGCCTTGGTACAGACACACAAGGTAACACTCTCATTGTGCATTACCATGGTACACCACGTAATTTATTGAATAAAAACGATGTATACTCACAAACCAACATGATTATAGGCAGTATAGGTGATCCACAAGGACAGTCACAAAACAATTGTGTCTAATTATGCGGATAAGCTGACGTGTTTCGGTAGCTGAACCCCCTTCCTCTGAGGAAGGGGGTTCAGCTCCCGAAATGCGTCAGCTTATCCGCATCATTAGACACAATTGTTTTGTGACTGTCCTTGTGGATCCCCTATACTGCCTATATAACATCGTTTTTATTCAATAAATTACGTGGTGTACCACGGTAATGCACGATGAGAGTGCGTTGTTTCTTTTTATTTACCAGTGGTCAGATTTCCGATTATCTAAGGGCAGCAACTGTTTGGCTTTTTGGGGCAATTCCTTGGTTTGCACTGAAGATTGGAGCGCTGGTTAATCTCACAAAGGTGAATACACTGGGTTAAATTGCCAACTAGATGTTTCATGTACCCACAGTGGCTATTGCAATTAGTGTCAGTATATAACTTTTGTTAGCTCTTGTGGAACAGCAAATGACTAGGCTAATACTGAGCCATGGTGGAACAGAAAAGAACTTGTGCATATGATGAGTCCCAAAACTTATAAAAGATGGAAAAATGACATTAGATGTTTGAATATTGCAAATCACATACTGTCTAAATCACACTATTAGTAGTGGTCAACTTGAACAAGCCAAAGTCAGGTAAGGACTATTGCAGCCACAACTGCCAGAAGAATTGTTCAGAAACAAATATGGGCAAACCCATGGTAAATGTTAGCAGTATGTACTTTATGACAGTAACTCCTTAGTTGATATTTAAATTTTTCAAAGTTTATACATTTTAAAACATGTGCTATACCTTTAAATAATATTTAATACAGGGTGTACCATTTACACTGGTATAACTAACGTAAAAAAATAAAAAAAATAAAGGACATCTTAGTAAACAGAAACTTCATCTGCTCTGAACAGAGCTCATGCAGGGGAGAAAGAGGAATGAGTCACTCCTGTCAGGCTTATTGATGTGTAAATTTCAGCTTGAGCTACTGTCTGTGGCTTAGAGCTCTGCCCCACCTGGTTTTCAGACAATGATACGCGTAAAGGACGACTTGATTACCACTGCTTGAAAATGGAGCTTCTCAATTTAAAAAAAACGGGGGTCGTCCGTTATAGGCCGGTATACATGCTGAACTTTACCGCGGATATGGCCGCCACCGCCCCCCCCCTCTTCCTCATTACAACAACACAAAGTCCACTGCTGTGCTCATTGCAGTCCGGTCCCTGAGGACTGATTAAAGCGCGGCTGCTCCTTCATTCAGGTAAAACGGCCACATGGACGTTCCATTCTTGTGCACGCCGCTCCGCCTCCTGCATTGGTGATTTTTAACCAGCTCGAGTGGCCATCCACCTGCGGCGAGCAGGCGGACCGAGCAGCCCCACGAAATTCGAGTACTAGACATTTGTGTTGCTTCCGAGATAAACACATATGTTGGCAAGCACCATATAATTATCCATGGAAAAGCATTCTCCCCCATCTTCATTGATAGGAATTGCCCGAAAAAACAAATTTTGTTGTAGGTGATAAATTATGGAGTTCTGACTTTTAGAACCCTAATCAAATTTAAACGATATATTCAACCAACGAGACAAATCTGCCTCCGCACCATTACACTGGATATTCCTCCCACTGACTAAAAACCAAAATGGGGCAGCTATTCCACCTCCCACTGACACCACATGAAATACTAATTCCTCCCCACGGCTGACCAATGCACTATCCCGTCCCCACTAGACACCAATGATGGGGCACCCTCCCACTGACTGATGGGGGCACAATTTCCTCACTGACACCACTATTCCCCACTGACACCACAATGATGGAATCCGTCCCAATGACAAATCCAATGATACTATTCCTCTTCAGACTGACACCAATGATGGGCACTATACCTCCCACAGAACACCAATGAAAGGGCACTATTCTCCCACTGACACCAATGAAGGGGAACTATTCCCTCCACTGGACACCAATGATGGGGGCACTATTCCCTCACAGACCACCAATGATTGGGTTTCCTGCCACTGATTACCAAAGATGGGGGCACTATTCCTCCCACTAGACACCCAATGATGGGGCAAGCACTGACACCAATGATAGGGCACTATTCCCTGCACCACTGATCACCAATGATGGGGCACACTCTCCACTGACACAAATGATGGGGCACTATTCTCCCACTGACACCAATGATGGGGCACTATTTCCTCCCACTGACACCAATGATGGGGCACAATTTCCACAGCTCCCACTGACACCAATGATGGGGCACTATTCCTCCCGGCTGACACCAATGATGGGGCACTATTCCTCCCCACTGACACCAATGATGGGGACACTATTCCCTCCCTGACTGATGTGATGGGGCACTTAATTCCACTCCCACTGACACTAATACCTCAAACCAATGATGGGGCACGGCTGACACCAATGATGGCGGATTCGACAATTCCTCACCACTGACACCCAATGATGGGGCACTATTTCCTCCCACTGACACCAATGATGGGGCACTATTCCTCCCACTGACACCAATGATGGGGCAAACTATTCCCCCCACTGACACCAATGATGGGGGCACTATTTATCCCACTGACACCAATGATGGGGCACATTCCCTCCCACTGACACCAATGATGGTGGGGCTATTCCTCCCACAGACACCAAAGATGGGGCACTATTCCCCCCACTGACACCAATGATGGGGCACTATTCCTCCCACTGACACCAATGATGGGGCACTATTCCTCCCACTGACACCAATGATGGGGCACTAACCTCCCCACTGACACCAATGATTGGGCATCTGATTCCTCCACTGACACCAATGATGGGGCAACTATTCCTCCCACTGATAACCAATGATGGGGCACTATTCCTCCCACTGACACCAATGATGGGGCACGATTCCTCCCACTGACACAATGATGGGGCACTATTCCTCCACTGACACCAATGATGGGGCACTATTCCTCCCACTGACACCAATGATGGGGCAACTATTCCTCCCACTGACACCAATGATGGGGCACATATTTCTCCCACTGACACCAATGATGGGGGCACTGATTCTTCCCACTGACACCAATGATGAGGCACTATTCCTCCCACTGACACCAATGATGGGGCACTATTCCTCCCACTGACACCAATGATGGGACACTATTCCTCCCACTGACACCAATGATGGGGCACTGATTCTTCCCACTGGTGTGCGTTGGAAGAGGGGTAGTCTTATATGGCGAGTATTAGCCTCACTAACATTTTAACAGGAAAAGTATGGGGCGTCTTATACGCCCAGTCGTCTTATACGCCGGAAAATACGGTAAATCCTGAAACAATGCAATACTGGGCACTTTCATATTTACCTGTCTAAACATTAACAGTAAAAATATACATATTTCCCTTAAGGAACCAAGATGCTCCTGATATCAAGCATAATACAGTATTTTCTAGGATATACTACAAAACTCTGCTTGGGGTCCAATGACACTGTACTGTTCAAGACATTTCTTTCACAACAGCCATTGAATGGGCAGCTATACATAATCTTTATGTACTGTATAACACAATATGGGGCACTATATATACAAAAAAATAACATATATATATATATATATATATATATATATACACACACACATTGTATATACAAAATATATAGCACATAGCCAACAGGGACATTTGACCCTTTTCTCATCCATATATGAGACTGTCACTGTATTTTAAATATAATTCAGCCTGCAAAGATGAATTGTAGTTTTTCAACATTACATAATAGTGTGGGTTCATCACTATATTGACCAAAAGATTTTGAGTACCTCGGACGACTTTGAAGACATCATATTCTAAGATACTATATGAATGTGGAGTTGCCTTCCTTCCTTTGTGGCTGTGTTTGATAGCCACTTCATTCTTCTAGGAAGGCTTTTCAAAATGTTATAGAGTATCTGCGGTAATTTGTGCTTATGTACCCAAAAGAGAATTTGAGGTCAGGTACTAATGTTAGGTGAATTCTTGTACCAACAAATCATGTACTTGTAGACTTTTTTAGCTTTGTTTTGCTGGAACAGAAAGGGGATCTTCCCCAAACTGTTATTTGAAGTTTGAAGACCACATTTGTCTAAATCAGTAGTGGTCAACATAGTAAATATAAGGGGCCACCAACATGTTCAGAGGGATGCATAATGGCCTAATTTTAACAATTGTGCAAATATTAATACACTGCATTGCAATGCACTCTATCTGTGCAAACTGTTATTGCATCCACTGCTGTGTGCACCTTGCGATGCTATTGATTATGAATGGCACCTCAATTTACTGGTATATTAGCAGTCAATACATCTAAACTATACCTACTACAACAAACATGCTGTGCATTGCAGTGTGCTGCATTAAAAAAAGCCATATTTAATTTTTAGGGCCTGTTTACTGCTTTGTGATGCTTTATCACACAATGCAATATTTTATCACAAATTATGTTTTGGTAGATCAACTTCTGTTCAACCACAGACACCATACATGGATAGAAATTCAGCCAGTCCATGCTGAACTGGTTGAATTCCTATCCACGTATGACCAGCTTAACCCTTCCCTAATGGATCCAAAACAACAAATATAACTGCAGTTGGGCTTTTAGGCCCTTTTCTCACAGGGTGGGCCCGTCAGTGGATCCGCTTGCTCAGTGGGGGTTCTGCCCACTGATCTCCGCTGAGCAAGCAGATGAAAGGTCCCTGTCGACTCCACTTATGCAAAGCGGACATAGCCACAGCTCGCGGTCTTCTATGGGCTGTCGGATGGAAACAGACCACATGTCTGCTTCCATCCGACTGTCATCCAACCAACAAGAACGATGGGGAACGGATCCCCATCTGTATGTTTTCAGAGGACAGGATCAGATCAGATGCAGGTGAGTGTAAACAGGACACTTGTTCGTTTACACCCACTGCTCAATAGAGAGCAATGGAGCATCCAATCAGGTCCACTTAAAAAACAGGCCCGATCCGTCCGTTCATGTGAAAGGGGTCTTAAAGCTGAATTCTCAGCACATAGAAAAGACAACTAAATGGAGCTCTTTATTCATTAGCAGACAGGGCTGTATGGTGTGGCAGAGCTTTGTAAATCTTAAAACTGGATGGACAAAGATACCAGTTCTTTGGCAGGTGAATTAGCTCCGCTATTTGTAGTTCATCTATTTAACAGCTTGCTAAATCTTAACATATAGTATCAAAATAGGATATACATACTATATTTTCAGTACTAGTCCTACATTTGTTTGCGATCAATCCATTAAAATGGAACCACATAAACAGACTTTTTCAAAGCCTATATTATCCATGGAAAAGCATTCTATCTCCCTCAGAAAGAAAATGAAAAAGATTAAATTACCGGAACTCTTGGATGTAGGTGTACGTATGTTCTTTCTCAGGAGTTCTGACTTAATTAAATTATCCCGTAATCCAAATTTAGAGATAGGCAGCATTTCTGCCTTGTTAACGGAGATCACATCTGCTGACCGCACCATGCCTGTAATGTCAGATTTTGTTTTATGAAGTCTGAAAACAAAAAAATAAGATTGTAACTGAAAAACATTCTGTGAATATGTAATGGTAAACATTGACCAGTGGTCTCTGAACTACAGCTAGAAAGGGGCACTATTCCTCCCTCACACACAATGTATGCCCTTCATTGTTGTCTCATAAAAATTGGGGCACAAATCTTCCCAATAACACCAACAATTGTAGATTTTTTTTCCACTGACACCAATGACTAGGCACTATTCCTTGTAGTGATACCAACAATGATCCACTATTTGTCCACTGACACCACTGATTGGGCACTAATACCAATGATGGGACACTAGTCCTTACACTGACATCAATGACTGGACACTATTCCTTCCACTGATACCAATGATTGGGCTTTATTCCTCCCACTAATACCAATGACTGGGATTTATTCCTCCTATTGACACAAATGATGGGCACTATTCCTCCCACTGACATCAATGATGGGGCACTATTCCTCCCACTGACATCAATGATGGAACACTATTCCACCCCACTGATACCAATGATGGGGCACTATTCCTCCCACTGACACCAATGATGGGGCACTATTCCTTCCACTGACATCAATGATGGAACACTATTCCACCCCACTGATACCATTGATTGGGCACCATTGTTCCTCCCACTGACCACAATGATGGGGCACTATTCCTCCCACTGACATCAATGATGGAGCACTATTCCACCCCACTGATACCAATGATTGGGCACCATTGTTCCTCCCCCACTGACACAATGATGGGGCACTATTCCTCCCCACTGACATCAATGATGGAGCACTATTCCACCCACTGACATCAATGATGGGGCACTATTCCACCCCACTGATACCATTGATTGGGCACCATTGTTCCTCCCACTGACCACAGGTGATGGGGCACTATTCCTCCCACTGACATCAATGATGGAGCACTATTCCACCCCACTGATACCATTGATTGGGCACCATTGTTCCTCCCACTGACCACAGGTGATAGATTATTTTTTTCCCACTGATCACCAACCATGGGGCACGTTTTACTCCCAGTGTCTACCAAGCTTGAGGAGTTCTTTACTTCCACTGACCACTGATGCTGGGAATTTTTTTTACGCTCAATGGTCACAGTGTGGGAGATTTACTAAAACTTCAGCACTTAGAATTTGGTGCAGCTGTGCATGGTAGCCGATCAGTTTCTAACTTCAGCTTGTTCAATTAAGCTTTCACAATAAAACCTGGAAGCTGATTGGTTTCATTGCAGAGCTGATTTTGCACCATGCAGCTTTAGTAAATGTCCCCGAGTTTGTCTCTCCTAATGTCTAAAGTACAGTGAACTGCCCTTTTGTTTGAGGTCCCCTGGCATAGACTGTTATACAAACACACCATGAATAGTAATACAATATGCTGAATGGTATAAAGCATGATCCAGCTGAAAGAACAAGCATTTTATCATAGGGTCCTAAATGTCAATGAGGTGTATATTTGAGACTGCATTGCTATTGTTAAGATCCCAAGAGACAGGGTTTGCGTTTGAATTAATAAGAATAAAAGCCCAAATCTAATCTGGTGCTCCTGATCCTGGTGTTCTCCATCTACACATACTACCAAACTAGAACAAGCCTTCACTTTTTTATATAATATATACTGCACAATGAGTGAAGTCAATTGAGCCAAAAAAGGATTTCATGTTGATTTGGTTATTTGTAGCTGGCCCCCCACAAATATCTTTATATGCCTGACTGGCAGCAAAGAAAAAAATGACAGCTTATTGGTTTAAATCTTAAGTGGTTGTAAAGGTAAAAGGTTTTTTACCTTAATGCATTCTCTGCAATAAGGTAAAAAAACCTTTCCATGTCAGCTCCCCCAGCCCCCTTAATTACTTACCTGACCCAATGTCGATCCAGCACTGTGCACATCTGCTTCTCTCCCCTCTTCTCATAGGAAGCTTGGCAGCAGCAGCAGCCATTGTCTTCCTGCTGTTGCCAATCAAATCCTGTGTACAGAGAGTGGAGGGCAGGGCTGAGCTTCACTGTGTGTGTTAATAGATGTGTGATCAAGCCTGCATGAGTGCCCCCATAGCATGCAGCTTGCTATGGGGGCACTTGGAAGGCAGGAGTAGCTAGAAGCACCAGCAGGAGAACCCCAGAAGAGGATAGGAACTGCTCTGTGCAAAAAAAAAAAAAAAAATAACCTTTACAATCGCTTTCAATCTTGATGCACAGGCATATGTAAGCCCTTGATGTGTATTCAAAAGTTGTGCTAATTAAATGATTAGACGACTAATTAAAAATGTCAACAAAAACACTGTGGCAATCTAAACAGGATGTACCCTTCAGTTAGCATTAGAAAATTCTTTTTTTAGGTCAGAAGAGCAAAGGTCTACACAAATGCAAATGCTGTATGCAAACTACCATACATCTGCAAGAGGCTAACATTTGCTTTTCAGCTTGTTAAAAAACTTTAAAAACCAGCTCTGATCAGAAACACAACCTCCAATCATCCTTTTAACAGCAATTTGTCACTGTACTTTTTCTATTGAAAAAAAATATTTTTGCATGGTCATTTCAAGGACAAGAAAGGCAAGTCCTTACATTTTCTTTCAGTGCAGAACAATCTTTGCTTCTCTTCAAGCCCAGTTTTGCTCAATTTACTACCACAAGAAATGTACAAGTCTCAATTTTTTTTTATAAACATAAAAAATGACAGTGAAATGTATCTAGAGCCTTATATTTAACAAAATGGAAAAAAAAGAAAAAAAAAAAACATTGCAATAACTGATAGAAAACAGCAAACCCATGGAAAGGTAAAATATCTTATTCTGCAACTTATGCAGGCCACACATGGGTCGAATTCCGAACAAATTTTCTTTAGAAAATTGAACATTTTGTGCGTTTTGTAATCCAATGGGGCCACCATTGATTTCAAAATTCAACCAACCAAGCCTTCAATTAGAACTAATGGCACCCCGCCTGTGGGTCCGCAGTCCTCTGTGCAGGTGGTACCGCTGCAGATCCGCACGAAAATCCATGCAGCAGCACCACCCACACAGAGGACTGCAGACCCGCGGGCGGGTGCCATTAGTTCTAATCAGGGAGGATAAAAATCAATATTTTTTTTTAAAAATCCAAAAAAATCTGATTTTTTTTATTTAAATCGGATTTATTTTATTTAAATCAGATTTTTTTAAATAAAAATGCTTTTTGAGGAAAATATATTACCATCCAAAGGTTATTTCATCATGAAATAAAGATTAGTTTTTTAATTATGTAGAATAAGGCTCTATATGTTTAATTTTTTTGGTAAATAAATTCCATTAATCCATTCACAATGTCATGCTCTTCCAGAGGTTTTTGTAAGATTATTGGGCAGTTTCTCTGCCTACAAGATATTATCACAGATGCTTGGTTTACTTTTGCAGTTCTCAAAACTGAATTTGAATCAGCGGAGATCACATGCCTCTTCTTCACAGCAAAAATGTTATAACATGAACAGAGTTAAGAAAAAGACCTTAATCCTAACTTCTACAAACCTATGAATACAGGATCAACCCCTTCAGTGCTAAGTTTCAAGAAGTTCAGTGAATAGAATAGAAACAATATTTTTCTGATTGTTTGGAGTGGAATAGATCTGCACAAGAAGAAAGTGAAACTAAGTGTGAGGAGGAAGGGGCTGACAGTCTAAGTTTCTTAAAATATATATATTTTGTTTAGCCAAATTAGTTAACAAACATGGATGTTTGTTTAAGCAAATAACATATGCTGTAATGTTATTGTTTCAGTTGAATAAATCTATTTAAATTGTTATTATTAAGGTAATGATTATTTTTCTCCTTCCTAAGCACAACAGAAAAGTTGTCCAAATATGAATGATTAACATTAACCTATTAAACTGGGGATAAAAAAACTAATATGAAAAGTTGTTATTCTCAAAATCTTCATCTACTTGCATATTAAAGTTATACCAGCAAGAATTAGTCTTTATGTGGAAAAACTATGATTTAAATCAAGCCTTACTGACTAGTGATTTAAATCGTGATGTAAATCAGTTTGATTTAAATCAAATCCACCCTGGTTCTAATGGCACGCCCCCACACTGGAAAATGCAACCGTACTGGGAACCAGATTCCCGTGTGGGCTGCGTTTTCCAAAGTGCAGGGACTTCTTCTCTGCGTGTCACGGGGCACGGGAGTTCATTCAAATGAATGGGTTCTCATGCCTGCGCAAAACGCGCCCCGCACGGCCACATATATGTGAACCGGCGGTCAATCATGATAATACAGTACATTGATTGGGGGGTACCATACATTGTACCTCATCATTGCCCTTTGCATTTCCTTACTGAATCTGCACCTGCCTATTATTAGGAAGCAGTGATCTGTGAACCTACTAAACCCAATAAAGTGTAGCTATAAAATATGCACTTATTAGAAAAGTCACATGGTGGTATTTAGAGAAAACAAAGTGAAGGGTAAAGTAGCCTGCAGCCATCAATCAGCAGTCACTGATCCAACTGGCTAATATTTAGAATTGTTGCCATAACAGGTCCTAATAAATATTCCATTTGTTTGCTCTGACGGTTTCATTTACCTGTGAGCAGCTTTTGGTGATCGTGATGGGTCCAGTCTGTGCCCAGGCTTCAGCCACTGTCCATTCTGCTGGATGTGATCTGTACTGGGCACTGTGAAGAAATAAAGAATCTGTGAATGTGCAGCAAACATGATAGATCCCAGACTCATCTGACACTCTCTTTCGGTGAACTGAAGTTTTATTGACCATGATAGCTCCACCTTCTTATCACACTGGATTATCCAATGTAGCAGCAGTAAACAATGTCTGCCACAAGGTAACTAAAAGAGAACAAAAAACTCAGACAATCATTTGTACTTTTCTGCTGTGCCTGCTTTTCTATGCATTCTAATTACTAGGTCTCTGTTCAATTTACAAAAATCTCAATAAGGATACAATATGCAGTGTCAAGTTTTGCACCACTCCCCTTACACATTTACATTTGGATAGACTGGCCTGCATGTCAATCTGGAGAAAAAGAAAAATAATGGCAAATGAAAAAAAAAAAAAACTGGTTATTCAGCCTTTTGCAGAGGTTGTCCACAGTGCCACTGGGATGCATAATAGACAGCCTCTACTTTGGAATAAATAGGGTTTCTTCTGCAAGAAGAGGCTTCTGGAATGGAGGCTATGTGGCTACCAGATACAGTACGTACTGGATATACAGGCGTACCTCGATTTACGAGCGCCTCGGTTAACGGAATTTTCGGTTTACGAATGAAAATCCATTGAAAATAATGGCTCGGTATACAAATTTTTTTCGCACTACGAAGCAAGTTTCCCCAGGATGCATTGCACATGGGAGGTTTATAATGCCGGCCCTGTGCCTTTAAAGTGCACTTTATAAAGAGTTTTGAACAGATAAGACTTTTTATTAACTTTTTTCTTACCTCCATAATGGATTAATTGGTTTTTCAATGTATTTACGGATTTTTTTCGCACTACGAAGCAAGTTTCCCCAGATGCATTGCGCCTGGGAGGTTTTATAACGTCGGCACCATGCCTTTAAAGTGCACTTTATAGTTTTGAACAGATAAGACTTTTTACTTTTTCTGACCTCAGGAACGGATTAATTGGTTTTCAAATGCATTTACAAATTTTTTTTTTTCTGACAATACGAAGTAAGTTTCCACTACGGATGAATTGCACCTGGGAGGTTTATAGCGCCGGCCCCGTGCCTTTAAAAACAGATGCACTTTATAAAGAGTTTTGAACAGATAAGACTTTTTACTTTTTTTTAATAAAGAGTGACCTCCGGAACGGATTCATTGGTTTTCAATGCATTTACAAATTTGTTTCACAATACGAAGCAAGTTTCCCCAGGATGAGTTGCGCCTGGGAGGTTTATAGCGCTGGCCCCGTGCCTTTAAAGTGGACTTTATAAAGAGTTTTGAAGGGATAAGACTTTTTACTTTTTTCTGACCTCCGGAACAGATTAATTGGTTTTCAATGCATTTAAATTTTTTTTTCTGCAATACAGAGCAAGTTTTCATAAGATAAATTGCACCTGGGAGGTTTATAGCACCGGCCCTGTGTATGCTGGAGTCTGTGGGTAGCACGTGGCATTGAGTGTGGAGGTTCTGAAGCGGTTTTTGCATGGAGCATTGGAGCCATTCTGGAAATTTTTAATCATGTCCCTGTATAGTATTTATGCCTTTAAAGTGCACTTTATAAAGAGTTTTGAACAGATAAAATACTTTTTTTTTTTACTTTTTTCTGACCTCCGGAACAGATTAATTGGTTTTCAATGCATTCCTATGTTTCATTTGATGAATTTTTCGCAATACAAAAAGTCCCGGAGAACACATTAAATTCGTAAACCGAGGTACACCTGTCTTTGAAGGATAACAGCCTTAGGCCTAGTTCACACCTATGCAGTTTGCTTCTGATCCATTACTGCAGTGCTTTTAACTTTTTGCAAACGTGTTTTTCATGTGTTTTTTTTTTACTTTTTTTTTTTTCTTGTTATGAAGGCTAAAAACACAAAATGCATCAAAGACGCACTACATGCGTTTCTGCTGCATGTCCATTGAAGTCTATTGAACCAAAAACACATTGTGTTGCGTTTAAAAAAAAAAACCCTGACCCTTTCCAAAAACGCAGTGGCTGAAAAACACACAGATGTGAACATGTCCCATAGGAAATTATATTACATGGACTGTAGTGTGTTTCTGCAAAACTAAAAATGCATAGGTGTGAAAAAGGCACACGGTAACTCCTGAAATAGCCTTTACAACGAAAATAGGCCCCATCCACTTCAAATGCATGGATGGGGGAATCGATTAATTTTCCATCATTTAACCTACCGGTTGAAAAAAAGCTTTAGGTCTTTTAATTGTTTTTTTTTTTAGTGCTCGGTCATACCGGTGCAACTTGGCATGCGATTTGATGGATTTAAATTACATGAGAAGTCGCACTGTATTTTTCTAAAATTAAAGTGGTTGTGTTGGTGCGATTCCGACTTGATCCGAGTCGCATCGATTTTGAAAGTAGTGTATGCACTACTTTTTTGCAAGTTCAGGGGCAACTTGCAAAGACATATGTGCACAGGTGTCTTGCAAATCACACCTGAAGTTGCACTGACATGCAATTTTGAAATTGTGTGACTTCAAGCGAAGTCGCAAGATTTCAAAGTCGGATTGGTGTGACCGAGGTCTTAAACACAGAACGAGAATGTAGCTTTGTGTAAATAATCCTTTCTGTGGACATGAATGTAATTAATACCTAATTTCTCTGTATAATATGTAATTATCAATAAGAGTTGCTATATTTACTTATTATGCCTCATGTACGCTGAGCGATTTTTAAGCTACTGCTAGAGGCTTCAGGTGTTTTTTTTACTGCCTCTAAGCTCCCACACGTTATTCTATGTGTCCATGAACACACAGGCTTTTGGCAGCGTTTTGTTGCAGGAGAGTTTAGTGGCAGAAAGAAAAAAAAAAAAAACACTGCCAATGCGTCTTAGGCGCATTTAGAGATTGAGCGTTAATTTATTTTCAATGACCAGAATAAAAATATTTATTCTTTGTCTTATTGATTGCTCTGGACGGTTTTCTTTATTACGTTGTTCGGTTTGTTAACCTCCCTGGCGGTATGATTATTTCAGATTTTTGGTGCTGAAAGCGGTACCATTATTTTGCATGGAAATTTGGCGTTTTATATTGTAGGCCTGTAATTCTTAGGAATAACTCACTGAAATCTGTCCAAGCAAGAGTCTAGTAAACATCCCGGCTAGGAGAAAAAAACTTGAAATACAAAATCATAAATTATAATTTAATAAATAATCATAAAAAAATAATATAATAATAATAAATTTAATTCAATAATAAATTCAAACCAAAAACACTGAAATTTGAAATATAGCGCCAAGTTCGCACATCACTGAGCAAAGTCGCAAAATCGTTTTCAGTGTCTGATGACAAAATTTCCCCATGAATCATTATCACTCAATTCTGCAAGTAGTTCTAATTTACTATCGCTGTTCTCTAGCCGGTCTAAAACCGCTTTTGACCTAAAGGAACACTTTTTGGATGCCATGGACGATTCTTAGTTTCCAGGTAGAAAGAACAGTACAAATGCAGGCAGGGCACAGGACAAAGCAGTAGGGACAAAATGTATGTGAAATGGTTTGATACAGTAATGTTTTACTATGTGATTTTAGTGATTTTAGTGAATGTCACTTTTTGTCATTTTCAAATTTCCCGCCGTTCCATCCCCGTACGTCCTGACGCTCGCAGGGGACGGAACCCAGATGACAGATGTCGGCATTGCCGGGGACACTGCAGGAGGGACATCGCGGAGCGCAGGACAAGGTAAGTGACCAAGGGATCACGGAGGAGCGCCGCATGGTAAGCCCGAGTGTAGCTCGGGGTTACTGCTTGTGGTACTGAAACTTTACCCCGAGCTACACACGGGAATACCGCCAGGGAGGTTAACGATTGAGTCTTTGACACCATTCTATATATGCTTTGTCATTTTGAGATTTGTTTGACTTCACCATTAATAAACGGCATTTCTGATTTAAAAAAAAATTATTCTGGCCAATTAAATTAATTAACGGCCAAACGCTTGACGTTGGAAAATGTGTGTAAACGCAGTACATACTTTTACAAGTGTCAGCCTAATAGTGAAGCATCACTGAAACTTTGAATGCTCACACAAGAGTACTTCTATTTTTCACAGAAAGCATCTTCTATAATCAATACAAGGGCTCCTGAATGAGCATTCAATGTGTTGGTGATTGATGTTCCACTATTGAAGAATCACACTAAAGGTGGGAATACACAATTAGAAAATCGACCGATCGGTCATCCGACGACCGAGATCCGTTCATTCGTTGGTCAAAATCGTGGCCCACATTAACCAATCTAAAAAAATCGTTCGTCGGGCAATAAGTAGTGTTGACGTCTTCCGTACAAGTGGAAGTGATGCAGTGTGCGTGTGACCTTGTAGCCACGCCCTTCCGGCCAGAAGGAGAGATATACACAATAATTACAGCAATGAGTATAATATAGTTTACTACATTACCTATATGCATAAATAGTGATACATAAAAATATATTATTCATAATTCTGGTTTCATGATCTCATTAGGCCAATCTACTTTTAACATTTGGATTTTTCGTTCGTGTTTATGAAGATTCCTTGGACATAAACATCTGAGTCATCTCCTGTTTCTGCTCATGCGTGATAGCGCTTGATAGATTTTTTTCATATGACTGTCATACCACCACATAGAAAATCGGTCGCTCGTATGCGAAACGACAATTTTTCACTGTTGTTCAACCGGATTTTTTAATTCACAATATCAGTTAAAACATCCTGCTCATCAACGAAGAGAAAATCGTGGTTCCGCGAAATTTTTCAGACGATTTTCTTATTGTGTGTACGGGGCATTAGTAACCTGTCACACATTTAAAATCGCACAATTTGTGTGCAATTTTAGCACGATTTCTGGTGCGATTTCAGAGAACTTTATTGCTACTAGCGAGCGAAGATTTTCAACAATTTTTTGCAATTTGCAGTGCGATTTCCATTATATTCTATGTATGTGAAATTGCAACAAAACTGCAGAAAAAGTAATGCAAGAACTACTTTAGAAATCCCGCTACAGCAATTCGCAAATGTTAAGACACCGACATTCACATTCATTAGATGCGATTTCAATTTCCAAATCATACTTGTATGACCGGGCACTTAGGGCCCATGTACATAGCCATAATTAATTTACTGATATTTACATAAGATCTGGCTGGCAGAGTCTTGCAGCAAAATCCTACGTAAAAACATTCATCCAGTGGTCCGTGCTTCTGATTACCCCTGCATTTAGACATTAAAATTCTTCTACCATTCACTAGTTCAAATTTAGATGCATGTCTATGTATTTACATGAGTTAGATGCTTACATGCAGAAATTGGCATGGATGCAGATTATTCTTCTTTTTTTTTTTTTACGATCCTTACCCAGCCCAATGTTACTGATTACAATACAATATAGGTGTTCAGACCAGTAAAAAAACGACACAATTTGTGGCTCTGAACGCAGCATTTTTTAGTTTTGTGTGCATGTGCCCTTATGATCAACAACAGAGCAACCAATCAGGTTTGATATTTTCAAAGAAGCAAGACTGCTCTAGGTAACGGCTCCACTTTTGCCGCAGTTTTTGTGAATCAGCCCAACTGCATTGAGAACAATTGACTCATTTTTTCATATAGACAGTAATCTCTTGTCCTGATTCACAGCTAACCACTTAAAACACAATTCTAAGCAATTCTTGCACTGTCACATAACAACCAAGCGCTTGTACAAAGAATTAAAAGCAAACAAATTAAACAATTACAAAAAGTACAAGCTCCGGAAACAGAAATATCCAGCATTCTGAAAATGACAACTCCACCCAAATCAGATATTACAATTTGAAAGTAGTAATGGTGGATTACATTACTTGATGACTTTACACATCTTTGAAGATATATTGCTGAGATTTACTCCTGTCAAATTTTGATTTCTGCACCCCCTGCCCCACAAGGTAAAGCAAAGAGCCACAATTTCATAGAAAGTTCTTAATCAGAAATGTTGAATCCCTTGCTGCCCCTCTGAAAAATGACGTGGTAACTTGCTTTTCAGAGGGTGTTTCCTCACTGCCTGTTTTTAATCTGGCACATTACACTCAGTTGAGGGGCAGCCGCAACATGGCCCTATTCGCTTGAATGGGTTGTGTTCAGTGGTGGTACTGCCCACTCAACCTGATAAAGGGGTATAAAGTATTATTAAACCCACAACAGTCAGTAAAATCAGTCTGTATATGCAGTGAAGCATGCTTGTTATACTCACTGTGGAACCTAAGGGGTTAATCCTCCACATTGTATTAACCACTTCAAGTCCGGACACTTTTACCCCCTTCCTGTCCAGGCCAATTTTCAGCTTTCAGTGCTATCACACTTTGAATGACAATTGCGCGGTCATGCAACACTGTACCCATATGAATTTTTTAGCATTTTTTTTTAGACAGATAAAGCTTTATTTTGGTGGTATTTATTCACCACTGTGGATTTTTATTTTTGTTGCTATGTAAATGAAAAAGTCCCAAATTTTTTTAAAAAAGTATTTTTCTTATAAAATTTTGCAAATAAATATTTCATCATAAATGGTGGCCAAAATGTATTCCATTATCTTTTTAGTAAAAAAAAAAAAAACCCAAATTAGTTTATAACCAAAAATTATAATTTTTAAACATTTTTTTACATTTTTATTGTGTTTTTTTATATTATTATTTATTTTTTTTTTTTACATACTGTCACCCTAGCAGTACACGCTGTACTACTTGTGGGGGGTGATGATTTTTTTTTTTTTTTACACTGATTGCTTTTACACCCATAAAGGCTGTAAAAGCAATCATTTCTCCTTCCCTCTGGCTGCATTCTTGCAGCCATTGAGAACTACTATGTGAGCCATGATTGGTCACAGCTTGTCTCATGGTACAAGGCTGTTGTCAATAGCCTTGTACCATGTGACCTCTGTGATCATTCTCAGATTTCACATGTAGTAAGCAATGATGTCAGAAGTGACATCTTGCTTACTACTCTGCATGTGATCACTGATTGGCCAATCAGTGATCACATGATCAGGACCTCACACAGAGGTCCTGTACGACGATCGGTGTTCCACTGTGTCCGGAGAACACAGCGGGCCCCGGATCGCGGGGAGCGCGCACAAGCAGGGACCAGGGAGGCCATTTATAAATGGCCACCCGACCCTACACTGCCACCGTCTGGCTGTTTATATACAACAGCCGGACGGGAGGTGGTTAAAAAGGATGTTTTATCCTGTCCTTCACTGATCCTCCCCTTCTTCCACTGTCCCCAATTCATCTGCTAGTAAAGCAGAGCATTGGGGAGAAGCTGCACATGCCAATGTTGGTGTGTATTGCTAGAAAGTTTTTTTTTCTTGGGAGAGTGCATGTGATCAGCACAGGGCCAATCAGCACTGTCCAGACAGTGGGCCAGGGGTCCTGCAGCCTCATTGTACAATCAGGGCAGAATGAAAACTCTTCCTACAAGCTTTAACCAGTGCTCTGCTGGACACTGATAGAAGTCACAAGATAGCTCTAATTGCTCATGAGAAAAGGTATTTTTAATTTAGCAGTTTATATTTATTAAAATAATTGAATTTCCCTGTTGTGTGTACTGTGGGAGACCAGATATAGTGAATGAAGGGTCCTGGGTTTAGTAACACTTTCATTTTTGCTGCAGCTGCAAAGCAAAACATCTCTTCTGTGGCATGTGTACAGTGGAGTATATGCATTCCTGCCCTAATGCATTCTAATGGCCAGAATTCTGGCCAGCAAAATGCATTGACAGTAGACATGTGAATGAGCATTAATGCATATTAGCACACATTTAAAAATAAGGAAAACTCCTTCAGGGGAAAATTTTTTTTTTTGAGCTTGCAGTGTGCATGAGGCCTAAAATGCATGTTGGCTGGTGTATGACGTGTAGGGGAGGTTGACGTGCTACAAAGTGACACTCCATTCAGGTCTATGCACTGCAGTGCGATGACACGCATGTGTAAAAATGTAGACACGTTGAGTTTTGTTTTTTTTTGCAGTGCATTGCATGATGTTATGATATGAATATGATTCACAAAAAAATAATTTTACCCTGCCCAATACACAGCTCATTAGATATGGTAGGAAGAAAATATAAACTGTTAACATCTCTGCATGTATAAGCCTAATGCAGGCCATAGACGGGGAGAAAAACGGCAGATTTTTCTTTTAAAAAAATGAAAAATCGGTCGTTCAAGCGGCCGACGTTACCATCAATGGTAAAAAAAAAAAAAAAAATCGGCCGATTTTCATCCTGTCTACAGCCGGCAAAAAGTGTCCCTGCAGAGAGCTCTGCTATTTCTTTGACAGTTCCTTGACATTTACAGAGGTTGCAACAATGTATCTATTTGTATCCATTTAGGATACAGATGTTTTTATTCAGAAACAAATAGATACAATGTTGCAACCGCTGTAAATGTCAAGGAACTGTCAAAGAAATAGCGGAGCTCTCTGCAGGGACACTTTTTGCCGGACTGGAATTCCTATTTTTCATCCTTCTTCTTCTCCTTCTTCATCATCATCCTCTTCTTCTTCATCATCATCCTCTTCTTCTTCTTCTACTTCTTCATCATCATCCTCCTCCTCCTCTTCTTCTTCATCATCATCATCCTCTCTTCTTCTTCATCATCATCTCTTCTTCTTCTTTTTCTTCATCATCATCATCATCATCCTCCTCTTCTTCTTCATCATCATCCTCTTCTTCTTCTACTTCTTCATTGTCCTCCTCTTCTTCATCTTCTTCTACTTCGTCATCATCATCCTTTTTTTTCTTCTTCTTTCGTCATCATCATCCTCTTCTTCATCTTCTTCTACTTCTTCATCATCATCCTCTTCTTCTTTTTCATCATCCTCTTCATCATCATCCTCTTCTTCTTCTTCATCCTCTTCTTCTTCCTCTTCTTCTTTTTGTCTTCCTCTTGCAGGTCACTGCTCATGCGCAGATTTTTTATCGGTAAAAATCGTCCGATTAGCCCATTATTGCCGCGAAAATCGGCCGATTGGCCGATTTTTTTCCAACTTTCCCGATTAAAAAAAACGGCCAAAATACCGAAAAACGGCCGAACAAATAAATAGCCCACTAACGATTCGAAAATTGGCCGATTTTATTTTCGGCTGAAAAATCGGCCGATTTTCGACCCACCTATGGCCTGCATAAGGCCATCAGATTCCTCCTTTTGCCTTCAAATATCAAGTTCAGCAAAAAATCTTTTCTTTTTTAGATTTCGATAGAGTGGTGAAATATTACAGCCTCTGTTAGGTTTTCCCTGCTGCTGATGTATCCATTGAGGAAATTTGTCAAAACAGGATGTGAGGGGGAAAACTCACCAAAATGTCTTACAATGAACAAATCAAAAGAAAAGAAAATTGTACATACACAATACCATTAGAGTTTTCCTTTAGGATTGAGGGCTAACTGCTAATCCCTGTGGGAGACTGAACGGTGCTCTGGTTCACACCGCTGCGACTTCAGATGAAACATGTGATTTAGAAATCTCATCTGTAGGCCAGGGGCAGACTGACAACTCATGGGACCCCCGGGCAATAGGGAATCATGGGGCCCCTGTGTCCTTGCCCAAACTCAAAAAAGCCTATGAAAAAGGTGCCAGGGGCATCTCATGGGGCCCCCTACTGACCCTGGGCCCTCGGGCAGTGCCTGAGTTTCCAAATGGTCAGTCCGCCCCTGCTGTAGGCACATCTAATGTATATCTATGGCACCGTCTTAACAGGTGTGATTTCAAGTAGAGCAATTTGAAAATTAGTACCTGCATTACTTTTTTTACCACTTCAGTGCGATTTAACTCTCATAGCCTATAAGGTAAATGGCACTGAAATCGCACCTGTGTTTATATCAGCACTACTTTGGAAGCCACTCTTTAAAGGGAACCTAATTGAACCACTCTGAAATCGCATTCAGTGTAAACCAGGCTGTGAGCAGTTACGGGCGGGAAGCCCTACTGAAAGCATTGAGAGACGGGCAGCACCCACAGCCATTCATGGCTGTTCACATGTGACTATCTGTGGATGATATGCCCTGAATGCAGACAGTTTGCTTTCAGGGACAGTCTTTCACAGGTAATAGCTGTACATGTTCATTTGCATGCGAATGACTGTGAATGGCTGTGGCCACTGTCAGCCTTAGATGTGGCTTACCCCCAGGAAACCCCACCAAGTCTCATGTAGGAAATCGTAGTCAGCCCTAAATGCAGGAATGAAGGAGGCCTTAAAGTGGTTCTAAAGGCTCAAGGTTTTTTTTTACCTTCATGCATTCTTTGCATGAAGATAAAAAACCTTCTGTGTACAGCAGCTCCCTCAGCCCTCCTAACAAGGCCGGATCTAGCCAATGTGATCTGGTGCTGCTTTCAATAAAGTCAGGGGGCATAATGTCAGTAGTGTGACAAGGATGCATGGAACCAATACTCCCTGTTCACTTGGCACACTTCTGTACCCAGAAGTATTGTCTGACAGGTAGTGCAGGAGTGAAATGGGAATGCTGCCATTAGTTTAGGGTGATTAAACAGAACATGTTCCTCCTTAGATTAAAGCTCCTATAAGAATCCTTCCTTACATCAGGTGTCTTCACCAGAGTGCCCCTTACATAAAATGTCTATATCAGAGTGCCCCCTTACATCAATTGCCTTGTCAGAGTGCCCCTTTACATCAGGTGTCTTCACAGAGTGCCCCTTACATAAAATGTCTACAGTAGAGTGCCCACCTACATCAATTGCCTCATCAGAGTGCCCCCTTACATCAATTGCCTCATCAGAGTGCCCCCTTACATCAATTGCCTCGTCAGAGTGCCCCCTTACATCAATTGCCAAGTCAGAGTGCCCCCTTACATCAATTGCCAAGTCAGAGTACCCCCTTACATCAATTGCCAAGTCAGAGTACCCCTTACACCAATTGCCAAGTCAGAGTACCCCCTTACATTAATTGCCTCATCAGAGTGCCCCCTTACATTAATTGCCTCATCAGAGTGCCCCCTTACATTAACTGCCTCATCAGAGTGCCCCCTTACATTAATTGCCTCATCAGAGTGCCCCCTTACATTAACTGCCTCATCAGAGTGCCCCCTTACATTAATTGCCTCATCAGAGTGCCCCCTTACATTATAACTGCCTCATCAGAGTGCCCCCTTACATTAATTGCCTCATCAGAGTGCCCCCTTACATTAATTGCCTCATCAGAGTGCCCCCTTACATTAACTGCCTCATCAGAGTGCCCCCTTACAGTAATTGCCCCATCAGAGTGCCCCTTTACATTAATTGCCTCATCAGAGTGCCTGCTTACATTAATTTCCCCCCTTAGAGTGCCCCTTTACATCAACTGTCCCAATCAGAATGCCCTCTTTACATCAACTGTCTCCATTAGAGTGCCCCCTTACATCAACTGTCCCCCATTAGAGTGCCCCCTTACATCAACTGTCTCCATTAGAGTGCCCCCTTACATCAACTGTCCCCATCAGAGTGTCCCCTTACATCAAACTGTCCCCATTATAAGTGTCCCCTTACATCAACTGTTCACATCAGAGTGCCCCCTTTACATCAACTGTCCCCATCAGAGTGTCCCCTTTACATCAACTGTCCCCATCAGAGTGTCCCCCTTACATCAACTGTCCCCATCAGAGTGCCCCCCTTACATCAACTGTCTCCATTAGAGTGCCCCCTTACATCAACTGTCCCCATCAGAGTGTCCCCCTTACATCAACTGTCCCCATTATAGTGTCCCCTTACATCAACTGTTCCCATCAGAGTGCCCCCTTTACATCAACTGTCCCCATCAGAATGTCCCCTTTACATCAACTGTCCCCATCAGAGTGTCCCCCTTACATCAACTGTCCCCATCAGAGTGCCCCCTTACATCAACTGTCCCCCATTAGAGTGTCCCCTTACATCGACTGTCCCCCATTAGAGTGTCCCCTTACATTGACTGTCCCCATCAGAGTGCCCCCTTACATCAACTGTCCCCATCAGAGTTTCCGCCTTACATCAACTGTCCCCATCAGAGTGTCCCACTTACATCAACTGTCCCCCATCAGAGTGTCCCCCTTACATCAACTGTCCCCATCAGAGTGTCCCCCTTACATCAACTGTCCCCATCAGAGTGTCCCCCTTACATCAAATGTACCCATCAGAGTGTCCCCCTTACATCAACTGTCCCCATCAGAGTGTCCCCTTACATCAAATGTACCCATCAGAGTGTCCCCCTTACATCAAATGTACCCCATCAGAGTGTCCCCCTTACATCAACTGTCCCCATCAGAGTGTCCCCCTTACATCAAATGTACCCATCAGAGTGTCCCCCTTACATCAACTGTCCCCATCAGAGTGCCCCCTTACATCAACTGTCTCCATTAGAGTGCCCCCTTACATCAACTGTCCCCATCAGAGTGTCCCCCTTACATCAACTGTCCCCATTATAGTGTCCCCCTTACATCAACTGTTCCCATCAGAGTGCCCCTTTACATCAACTGTCCCCATCAGAGTGTCCCCTTTACATCAACTGTCCCCATCAGAGTGTCCCCTTA